ACTCTAATGCAGGCTCCATAAGAGCAGGAAGTTTATCTGCCTTGTTCACTACTGTACACTCAAGGACCCAGGACAGTGCCTGGCATGTAATAGGGTAAATGAATGAATGAATGAATGAATGGAGAACAAGCAAACCAGATGGGGTTGTTCTGAAGTAAGAAGACTGTCAAGAAGTAACTGAATTACAGAAGGGTCTCACTAGATGGGGTGGGTGGCTCCTTACGATCTGAAATGCTGTCCTGGGTTTCCCATGGTGGCAGGGAACAACCTTGAAGCCCCCTGTTCCTGGGTCCTCTGAATTGCGGTCATGCCTGCTGTCTCTGGATCAGTCTCTGTGCCACCATCACTGCCACTGTCAAGCAGTAGGCATGGGCTCAGGGCACAGTACTGCACCAGGACTCCTGTTAGGAAGCACCGCCATTTCCCACCAGATAACCCCCCCCCATCCCCACCCTGGCTCACTCAGAGGAAGGGGGCCTGGGTCGGGAGGGGAGGGTCAGGGGGTTCCCTCACCTCAGGACTGCAGGGAATATCAACACTCTCCAAGCAAGGAAAGCAGGCACCTCAGAACCTGAGAAGAGCTCTCTGTGTCCTCTGTTCATGAGGAGGGGGTGGAGCCTAGTTGTGGGTGACCAGGTCACCAGGTGACCAAGAGGTTAGATCACTAGGTGCCAACCCAACCTTGGAGTCAAGCCAACTGTAAAGATGTGTTCATCTTGCAGCCAGACACTGAGCTCCACATTTATGTGCTTTTGCTTAGAGTATGTTACATATTTATCATGTACTTTTAAAACCTGCATACCTGGACCCCCTCTCATAGGTCCTGCTTCAGAATGTCCAGGAAAACATCCCAGGCACTGACATACTTTTTAAAGCTTCCTATTTGGTTCTTGATAGCTCAGTTAGTAAAGAATCTGCCTGCAATGCAGGAAATCCCGATTCGATTCCTGGGTTGGGAAGATCAGATGGAGAAGGGATAAGCTACCCACATCAGTATTCTTGGGCTTCCCTTGTAGCTCAGCTGGTAAAGAATCTGCCTGCAATTCGGGAGACCTGGGTTCAATCCCTGGGTTGGAAAGATCCCCTGGAGAAGAGAAAGGCCACCCACTCCAGTATTCTGGCCTGGAGAATTCCATGGACTGTACAGTCCATGGGGTCGCAAAGAGTCAAACACAACTGAGTGACTTGCACCACTACTACTACCATCTGGTTCTCATTAGCATCTAGGGTTGACAATTATTGATAAGGAGTGACTGGGGTCCCCAGAGCAAGCAGTAGGAGGATGGTGGGGTGTAGGCAAGGGGGAAGGGTGCTGAGGCAGGGCTTCAGTCACATTAGAATAATGAAGTTCCAGAAAGTCCCACAGATTGAAACATATAAAACCTCCACACACACAAAAAAACACACAAAACCTCAAAAAAAAAAAAAAACCCAAACAATAAACTAGCATTTTAAAATGTAAAGAGCAGATAATTAGAGGAAAATATGGTAGCAAAAGGTGAACAGCCTTAATATTTATTAAGAACTCTTACAGATTAGTAAGAAGATGAGCACCCAATAGAAAAAAAGAGTACAGACAAGAATAGGCAATTCAAAAAGAAGAAATACAGTGAGCCAATACACTTAGCAAAAGCAGTCAGCTTCACCAGGGGGAGTCAAGAAAATGCAAATCAAACAACAAAGAGGCATCATCTTTTGCCTAGCTAATTGGCAGAGATTAAATACATGATAATACCTAGTGCTGGTAAGCGTGTGGAAAAAACAGGCACCGTCATTCACTGGTGGGAGAGCAAACTGGTGCAGCCTTTCCAGAACACAATTTGGCAACATGTAAAACTGGGGAAGATCGCACCCCTTTCTGACGCAGCAATTCCACTTTTAGGAAGATTGCCTTAGGAAATAATTGTGGATAATAACAGTAATAGCCAACCTTTCTTAAATGCTCTGTGCATGCCAGGCTTTACATGCCTTATCACATATAATCCTCCTAGTCATCATCCCATGAGGTAGGAGCTGTTTTTATCACTTCTGAGGAAACTGAGGCCCAAAAGGATTAAGAAAATGGCCTAAGGACTTCAAGAGGCTCAGATGGCAAAGAACTCACCTGCTAGTGCAAAAGATGCAGGTTCCATCCCTCAGTCCGGAAGATCCCCTGCAGAAGGAAATGGCCACCCATTCCAGGATTCTTGCCTGGGAAATCCCATGGACAGAGGAGCCTGGCAGGCTATATAGTCCATGGGGTCGCAAAAGAGTCAGACCCGACTTAACAACTAAACAACGACAACAGAGGCATAGAACTAACAAGTTGCAAAGCCTGGATTTGACTTCAGGAAGTCTGAGTCAGGAGCCTCACTGCCAATACAGCAGAATACACTGGATATGTATCAATACAAAGGATGATGTGCACTGAATATATACACTAGATAGAGCTGCAAGAATATTCCTCTGGGCTTGTTTGTGATGAGGTGTGGTGAGGCAGGGGAGACTGTATGTTAAATTCCCCCACAATAGGAACTGGTTACATTATGGTGTACCCATATAGGAGTATTATGTAACTTTGAAAATGATGCTACAGAAAAAAACTATGTGAATCCTAGGAGGTTTTGTTTGTGCTTAAAAGATCTCTGAAAGGATATAAAAGGAGCTGATAGAATTGATTGCCTCCTAAAAAGGCAACTGTGTGGCCATGGTCAGAAATCAGAAGGAGACTTGTTTAAGTAATATACCATTTTTCACTTCTTGAATTTTAAATCATGTGAATGTAATATTTATTAAAATATTTATATACCTATAAAATACACCCACACACAAGGTAGGTTATAGAACTTATTCCAAAAAACTTTATTCCTTGAAATGCTACTAAGGGTTCCCCAAAAAGCTCCAGGACTCTTACTTGGGGAATCATACTGAAGCTGACGAAGAGACTGCTTTAATGTTTACCTGCAGGTTTCCCAAACTGAGTTGCTCATGGAACCATTTTCTTAATTAATATCTCTTATCCTCTCTCTGGAGATGAGTGCCTTGTAACTTGGGAATTATTTGTTATTATTTGGGAATTATTTGTTATTAATACTTAATGCCAAGGTGAAAGGCTTACAGTGTTTCATTAAATCAAAGAAATATGTTACCGGCACTGGTCCCACTTTGTTTAAAAATAGATGTGTAGGGGTGGTATGTGTGTGTTTTGCTTATGAGTTCTGGGATAATGGATGATTTTAGTTTCTTCTTTTATCCATTTGTGTTTTTTCATTTTCAGAAATGAACAAAATCATTTCGCATGCACCGTTGTTTGAGTCTATGTACTATATTTTTAAGGCTTTGGGATCCCTTTCTTTCCATGCACCCCATTCTCTGTGTGTGCATGCTTAGTAGCTTCGGTCATGTCTGACATTTTGCAACCCCAGGGAATGTAGCCTGGCAGACTCGTCTGTCCATGAGATTCTCCAAGCAAAAATACTGGAGTGGGTTGCCATGCCCTCCTTCAGGGAATCTTCCCGACCCAAGGATCGAAACCACGTCTTCTGTGTCTCCTGCACTGCAGGCAGATTCTTCACTGTTGAGCCACCAGGAAAGCTCCCAGTCTCATCTACTCCCTACTGAAAGCAGCAGCCCGGGGTTAGGTTCACTGAGAGGCCCCCATCTATAGCCAGGCCCTCTCATCTGTCTTTATCCAGGGCCAGCTCAAGCTGTGGCTCTGAGGTGGCAGGGGACGGACCAATGGCCTAGATGGGGTCTGTCTGTCACTAAACAGCTCTCTGGCCCCAGCAGACCCTACCTTCAACCAGGTTCCTCAAACAGAGATACTGAGGCTACGGAATCAGACACCAGCCAGCTGCAACCCTGACACGTTGCGCATCCAGGCAACCTGGGCTTTGGTCCCAGCTCTGGGCTGCCTGGCTATGTGACCTTGGCCAAGTTTCTTAACCTGAATGTCATCATCACCCTTTGAGTCAGCATGACGCTTGCCTTACAGAGCTCAGTGACCAAATGAGAGCACACACAAAGGCACTGGTGTCCCGCCGAGGGCTGTCCCAGTGGAATTATTACACACCCCAGCAGGGAACATGGGCTTGCCATCACCTTCCTAAGAACAGAGTACTTTTTTCTTTTCTTTTTTTAATAGGTTGTTCCTTCTCCAAGAGGGAGGGGAGCAAGGAGATGAAACATGGGAGACTGGGGCATGTGGAAATAGAATGGTGCTCAAGACAAATAGGAGAAGCCTTTTAGCTTGACATATGCAGCCCTGCAGCCCTGGTTGTGCCCATGCCCCCCAGTCTAGCCGGCCCCACCCCACACACAGCCATGCCACTTCACACATGCAGGTCAGCTCACCTCACCGACCACTGCAATTCTGATAAACCACAGCCTGGACCACCTCCCTCCCTTCCAGCTCCCTCATCCTTTGGCTTTCAGCTGAGTTAGCTGTTCCCCAACCAGCACTGGGGCCACACCTCTGGGCTTCAGCACCCCAAAGCCTCGATGATTGCTATGATGCCAGCTTCCAGCTCCTCTGCCAGACTGGACTTCCTGAGGGCAGGAGCTGTATCTGTCACTGTGGTCCACCTGTCTCTGGGTCCAGAATGGGCCTGCAGGTCTGGGACTAGAATTAGATCATGAGCACTGAAGTCCAGGAGACCTGGGTTTGAATTCCAGCTCCATCCCCTTGGGGAAGTGACTTCACTCTGAGCCTCAGTTTTCCCTATCTGTAAGTGGATTTCATCCTTGCAGGGAACTCACAGGGTTATTTTCATCAGTTAATGTGTATAAAACTCTGAAAACCATTCCAGGCATGAAGGAAAACTCTCCATCGGTGGTACCACACTGACAGCATCACAGACCCTTGGTGAAGGGTTGTTGATTTGAACTAGGAAACAGCACCAGGAAGGGTGGTTCCCCAGGATCAAACCCCACCTCGCCCAGAACAGTGGCCCTTTCCCCACTGTGTATGCTTGGCACTGTCTCACCACCTCCATACTCACTCCTGCCTTGTACCCCCACAGCCACTCGGCCCAAGCTGAAGAAGATGAAGAGCCAGACGGGACAGGTGGGTGAGAAGCAATCGCTGAAGTGCGAGGCAGCAGCCGGTAACCCTCTGCCCTCCTACCGCTGGTTCAAGGACGGCAAGGAGCTCAACCGCAGCCGGGACATCCGCATCAAGTATGGCAATGGCAGGTGAGCAACATCCCTCCCTCCATCCACCAGCCACCCTGCCTCCTTCCTGCACAGAACCAGTTCCCATCCCCCTTTTTTGTGGCTCCCTATTTCTCCTTCCAGCTCTGGCATGCTGCCCCAGTGTCTTGCAGACGGTAGCCACTTAATTAACATCCCTGGATGGTTGAAGGCCATTTGATTGTCAAAGTCAGCTTTAACTGTGAAGTTCCATCTTGTCCATAAAGCTTTACAAAGGACTCGCACCCTTTGAGTGAAGCCCACCACTGGGCAGTCTTTGGTGAAGGACTCTGATCTATAATGTGTCTAGGAGGTCATGGGTGATGATACACCAGTTCCTCAGCTCAGCAAGCTGTCACTGGGCAGGGAGCAGGGTGAGGGGAGGGGCCCATGGCTTTGACTGGTGTCAGAGGAATCTTGGGACAGCTCCCCCATGACTTGGAAATTGTCTTGAGTCTTTGAGTCAAGGCTCCAGGGAAGGGAATCAAAAGGTCTAGGGTCTCTGGGCTGTGGAAGGTGGTCTGTCTCCCAACTTGGTCAGACAGCGGGCTGCAGGCACAGAGAAGCCAAGGATCCAAGGGCAGCCCCTCACCTCTCTCCTGCCTCTCACAGCCTCTGAGGGGCTGTCAGAAGGCAGAACAAGCTTGACCTCCACTCTGCAGATTCTGAGGGCACAGTGGGCTTCCGTCTCTGGCTGAGGGGCGCCCCAGCCCTTCCTGCTCCTCCCCAGAGGCTGTCATTCCCTCCTCACCCCCCAAAATGCAAACAGTTTTAGAGGACCCTCCAACCTGTCCCACAGCCAAAAGCGATGGAAAAAAATGTCTGGGCTCAGGCTGCTCCTGGTTTGCTTGGAGGTCCTGGATGTACACATCCTACTCTCCAGCCTAAGTGTCTGAACCTGTGAAGGGAAGGGGTCAGGGGTCTGGGCGATGCTTGCAGCTTTCTGACCCTCTTTCCATGAGCAGGGAGCAAAGACAGGACCTGTCACCCTGGAAAGTGGTCCAGGCAGAAAATAGAAAGTGATTTAAGAAGGTTTGGGTTTAGATCAAAGGTTTACAGCTTAAAAAAAAAATACTGCTTCCTGAGGGAAATTGGGAGGGTTTCTGGGATGTCACCAGTCAATGGAGTTAGCAAGAAATTCAAGTTGCCCATCAAGTCACCTTTTGAGGCCCCCTCACCCCTTCCCACTGCCCCGCCATGCCTGGCTGCAAGCTGGAGAGAAGAGTGGACTGGCTTCCCAGACTGTTGGGGCCCGTCTCCCTCCTGTTCTGTTTTTCTGGAAGGTGGCCTCCCCCCCACTTGCCTGAGACAGCAGAAGTCAGGAGAGGGGATGCTCCTTGCTGTCCACATTATGCTCAAACAGTCCACAACGTGGCCAATCTTCACCCCCATTCCTGATCCACACGTGACCCTCACACTCACCCACACCCACACCCTCCTGCACACGCACCCTCAGAGCCCTTGGGCCACCAACAAACTCCTCTCTTTGGTGAACTCTCCCTCTCTCTCTCAACAAACCACGAACACCGCCTCTCCCCTAAAAGCTCTCTCTCCACGTTGTCGTCTTCTCCTGTTCCTCCTCCCCTGACTATTGCCCATCTCACTCCTGCCCTTCACCACCATGCAGAGGAAGTTTCTAGCCCACTGACTCCACACTGGCTCGTCCTCCACACCTCTGCTCTATGGGAAGCTGCCCTGTAAACGCAACCCCAACACTCTCTGCGGCTGCAGCTCTTGACAGACCCGGTGACCTCAGGCCCTCCCAGGGCCCCCCGGCTGCCAGGCCCCTCAGCAGCCGTTGGCCCTGCCACCTGCTTCCTTGCCCCTGTGCTCCTCCTCCTCATCCTCTTGTGCCTCTGAACCCCTTCTCTCTGGCATCATGAATGCTGGAACTTTCCTGTGTCTGGGGCTTCTCTCTTCACCCAGAGCTCTCCACCCATGGGTGAATTCACCCTCTCCTATCTGATGACCCCAAGCCTCCATCTCTAGTCTGATGGCTTTTTTTCCCTTTCCTGAGTTCCAAATCCATACTGCCAGCTAGATACCACCCCTGAGGTTCCCCATGCTTATCTGTTTTTGTTTTTGTTTTTTTTCACTTTTGTTTGCTTTTTCTTTTTTTTAGTAGTGTGTATTCCTGGGCCATACATTTTTGTTTCTTCAGTTTCTTCTGGGATATCTTTTTCTTCCATGCAACCTCCTCTTCTGGTTTAGGAACAATCTGTTCTTTTCCAGTGAGGACCATCTTCATGTGGCCGGGAGAGCTCATGTATGGGTTGATCTGATGGTGAGCTCTCTAAGTCCTGCCCCATAGGCTGGAGGCTTTGTTTACCTGGATGTGCTCAATGAGCAGAGAATCTACATCTAAGCCCTTAAGTTCAGCACTACTCTCTGCGTTTTTGAGCACATGCAGTAAAAATTCAGTGGTCTTTTTGGGCCACTGACCCTGCGTCCAGCCCTGCTGTTTGGCCTGTGCACACCTAGCAACTCCACTGCTGTAACAATGGAATGGCACATAGAGCTTCTTTAACGTGACATCCTTCTGATACTTGGTGGCTTCTCGGATATGCATACCCTTAACGGCCTGGGTGGCTTCACGAGTGTTCTTAAAATGAACACAAACATTGGAACGTCTTGATTTGCACGATTTTGCGGGAATTTCTGAGTCAAATGAATTGCAGACTCTTTTTAGAGGTCACCTCTGCCACTTACTGGAAAAGCCCCAGACATCTCTAATCCAGAACGCCCTGGTCTTGCCTCTCCCCCTGTCCTCTCTGGCCCTGCCTTGCCCCACTGCACTTCCCTCTCGACTGTGGCAAAACCAGACTGCCCGCTGCCCAGTGCCTGCCTTCGTGCCATCCCCTCCAGGTGGACACCACGTCTCAGAAAGGAGGCCTCCTTCTCCCTGCCCACTTCTGCTCTCCCTGCCTCCAGCCTCTTGTCCTCCACTGTCTCACTCTTGGCCATTCCCCACCTTTTCTAGGCCACAGGCCCCTTTGTGAATTCATTTCTGTTTCGCACGTATGTGTGCTGAGCAGCGGTTGTGTGCCGGGCACTCTACCAGAGGCCGGAAATACACCAAAGATTGGAGCAGACATGCTCCCCACCTTCACGACATTTCTCTTCTAGCTTTTAGCGGAGGGTCTGGTAAAGGCCCCTACCCTTTCTTCAGAAAACGTGTGCCTGGTTTTGTTTGCAGTTCGAGAGGTCCACAGGTTCACTGACCCCGTTGATTCTAACAGGGGATGGTCTTTCTAACAGGGCACATATCTGATCATTCATTCGTTCACTTGGTAGACCTTGAGATTCTGCTGTATGCCAGGGACAGCCTAGGCCGTGGGGCCCTTCTAACGCTCCCCTTCCTGGCCTATAACTCACCGTCTCGCTGTTCTTGCGCTTGGTGCTTCTGACTCCTAGACTTGGGCCCAGACTATTCCCTGTGCTGGCAGCACCCCCTCCTCTCACCTTGTCCTTCACAAAAATCTCCAAGGCCCAGCTTAAATGTCACACCCTCTGGGTACCCTCCTGAGCACCCCCAGCAAGCTCTCACATCTCCTCCCCTGGTGCCTTAGACACAGCTTCGCGACATGGTGGGAGACTGTTTCTCCCAGCATGAGAGCCTCTGAGACCACCCCCAGACACACCCTGTCTCTTGTGTAGCCTGGCGGAGGTCATCTGCTTTCCAGTGTGAACTGACAAGGATCTTGCAGGATCTGCTCACCTCTCCTGGGTGCAGGGGATGTAGGATTGGGCAGGACACCTGTTGCATTGACCTTGCCTTCGAACAAGTGACTGTCCTGGTCAGGCCCTGGTGTCAGCAGACAGATAGGGCACCCAGTCCCCACACAAGGCCTGGATGTATCCTCTGGGTCTCTTCCTGGGTACTAAGGCCCCCTGACAGCCTGAGTATGCCCCCTGCCCCCTTCCTGTCAGGACCCTGTCCCCTTGGCCACGTTTTAGAAACTGCCTGGCTTCACCCATCCTGCCCCCGGGCTGCTCCCTGCAGTGAGTCGATGGGCTGGAAGAGTGGGCCGTGATGGAGAGTGCCTTACTCCCTGTCATTTCCCATTCCCTCAGAGTAACTCAGAGAACCGCCACTCTACACGTACACTTCAGCTGGCTTGGGGGCTGGGGGCTGGGGGCTGGGAACAGGAGTCTCCTTTCTGGCAAAGTCATCTTTCCTCTGCCCACACCACAGGGCACACTCTAGCCCTCCCAGAGCTCCATTCTGCCCAGCCCACACTGTCTTAATATCACTCTGAGTCTATGGAGACACCCCTCCCACTGGGCTCCGCCTGTCTCTGGGGCAGTCCCACTGAGGTGTCTCAGCCCAGCCTTCCCGTACCAGGAGAAGACCGCCCCCTTTCCCAGCCCTGGGCACGGAGCCCTTACCCGGCGGAACCATGTGTTCCCCTGTTTATGAGGGGCAGGCTAGAACAGGCCCCTCAGGCAGGCAGCAGGAGGTAGGCGATGGGGAAAACGTGCGGACGGGTGGAGGAGGCAGCCGCCCAGATCCCTGGTCCCTGCCAGCAGAAAACTGGCTGAGGAAGGCGAGGAGGGCGCCTATCACAGGGGCAGACCTGGGTCAGCCTAGCAAGAGGACACTGGGCCTGCCAGGGAGGTGGGAGGGGGGTTCTGAGTACTTGGGGCTTCTGATGGAGCTATGAGTGAGCACTCGAGAATGTGGTGGCCCCGCTCCTTAGCTGCAGAGCCCCGCCCTTCAGCTCTGACCCCAGAACCTTTTGTGCCAGGCTGAGGCCACCTTCCTGGAACTGGGGCAATCATCACACAGCTGGTAAACCAAGATGCCTGCAATCAGCAAACCTGGGGCCCTGGTTTCTGTCCCCTAGCCTATTTCTGGTTCCTCAAAGGGGAGGGGCTCTCCCTACACCCCCGCCTTTCCACAGACCTCACACCCCTCCATGCGGGAAGCCCTTCCTTCTGGTTTTAGCTTCCATCCCTCCAGGTAACCATGATCCTGGCTCCATCTTATTCTGCATTTGATGTGGTGTAAGGGACACTTCTTTGAATTCACTGTGAGTGGATGACAAGGAGGGTCCATCTCTGTGTCCCCTATACCTTCTTTTTTTTTTTTTTTAACATCAAGGCAATTTATTAACACAATAATCTGAGGAGTCCTGTTCACAGGACCCCCCCCCCTCCTATGGGTGCTGTTGGAGGGGGTGAGGGTGACTTCCTCAGTTCGCCCAATCTTCATCCGTGGGGCAAGGGCTCTGAAGGCTGACTGGGCCCCTGTCTAGGAGTCTTGTCCTGTTTCCTCCTGTGACCTGGAGTTTGATGTGAAGGGCAGTGATGCCCAGCTCCTTGCATCTCTGGGCTACATTTAGGGAATCCAACATGGCAGCCTATGGAGAGAGCTCACCTTTGTCAGCCTTTACCTTCCTCCACCCAGTTACACAGCAGATAGCTTCCTGGCCAGAAAGATCTGTGATGTGGACAGAAGTATCACTGAAGAGTGCAAAGATGTGGCACACACCAAACACGTTTTCTCCTTCAGCCACCTGAGGGTCAAGGCTGATGACCCACTTTTCCTTCTTTTCTTTCTTTTTGCGAGGTGCCATTTCTGTACGTCTTCTCCCCTATGCCTTCTTGACCCTGAGACCCCCAGGTGAGCCCCTGCCCTGCTCATCTAGTGTTAAGGAAGAGCTGGTGGCCAGGAAGCTGGAGAAGCCTGGTCCTGGGGCAGCTGGGCTCCATGGCATCTAATTAGGCAGGAGCCAGGGAAGAGATGCTGTCGTAGCCAGAGGGGCCTCCAGGGCTCTGTTTAATGAAGAGAAGAAACTCAAGTTGACAGAAGAGGGTTGTAAGCAGACACAGGCCAAGGAGACAGAGACCAGCATGAGCCAGGAGGGGTAGGAAGGAGTCGGGCAGCTCGCACGGTATCATCAGTGTGGACATCACCACAGAAATGAGGCCTTTTGACTAGATAGGCTTGTGGAGGCTGGTTTGGGGGATCCCAGAGTTAGGAGGTCCAGGAAGAGTTCAGCATCAGGGGCTGAGGAGGAGCTCAGGAGACTGGTCCCCAAAGCACAGCGCAGGGAAGGATGTGGGTCATTTTGCCGTCTTCCTCCGTCCCTGGTGCAGCCTCTCTGCTCACTGCCCTCCTTCCCCGTCAGCTTCATGGCTCTGTTTCTCCAGCCCTGGTTTCAGGGCTGTCTCCCATTCCACCACTCTGCAACCCACTAGGCATGTTCTGGGAATCTGATTTTTTTTTAACTCAGGACTAAGAGGAGGAAGTTACATCATGTTAAGAAATTTTCATGCTACTTCTTGTTTCCCCCTGGGGTCCCCAGAGTTTTATCCGGAGCTCAGACTGGCCCCAAAGAGCACTGGGGCAGAGGGAGGGGTGAGAGGTATGAACAGATCCTGCAGAGCCCAGGCACCTGCGGGCAAGTGCAGGGAAGCCGACGGAAGGAAGGAAAGGTTTGGCATGGTCTTCAGAAAGAAGAGGACAGGCCAGGCCAGGTGCCCTGGAGTCACACACAGCACTGGAATCCCTGCCCAGGCCTGGCCCCACGGCTCTGGGCATGCAAGGCTGGGTGCGAAGCCCTCCGCAGAGGCGTTAGCCTGAGCTTCAAGCTCCAGGAGACAGTCCATGAGCCGCCTGGGGCGCACATCCTCACCAGCTCCAGCTCCTCATTCACCTCTGCCTTTGCTTTGCTGGCAGGCATTCTTAGACAAGTCCAGAAGCCCCTCAAGGACTCAGTTTTTCCATCAGTCCTTCCTGGTCCTCCTCCAGATTAGCCATGAGAGGCAAGTCAGGCCTTGAAGATAAGACTTTTTTGTTCCCTGAGATATCCAAGCCCCCAGCACACAGAGGGCACTCAGTAAACATATGTTGAGTAAATGAAGCAAAACCTTTTGAAGAGGCCACAGAGTGCCCCTTAGTGGCAGGGCTAGCATCAAGGCAGGGGAGAGCCACAGGTGAGGACTGGGAGGCTGGGTGCAGTTGCCCTGGAAACCTGATGGAGATTGGCCTTTCTGGGTACCTGGGACAGGCCTTATCTATCCAGAGTGGTGGGGCTGCTACTTCTAAGGGAAGGCTGAGGTGGCTGTGAGTTAGTGGCTGCTCTGCTGGAAGAGGGTCGGGGAGACACGGCGGGCTGGGGAGAAGGGTGCTAAAGTCCTTGTGACTTCCCAAAGGATGCCAGTTTCCTGCCCTGGAAAAATGGTTACAAAGAAGGTCCAGTTCTGGAAAAAGGATGGATGTGAGGATCCACAGACTCAGAATTGGTGTTTCTCCTGAGCGTGCAGGTCTCCCTCCCGTTCCAGAGACTGTGCATTCCACCCAGACCCCAGCGCTGGCTGGTCTGCGGGAGCCTACTTCCCATCCACCTGCGCAGACACTGTGGCCATGCTGGGAGAGGTGACCACTGGGTGACCGCTGGGGAGCTCACGTTCTCCCCATCTTATCCCCTCCCTAACCAGAAAGAACTCACGACTCCAGTTCAACAAGGTGAAGTTGGAGGATGCTGGGGAGTACGTCTGTGAGGCTGAGAACATCCTCGGGAAGGACACCGTCAGGGGCCGGCTCTTCGTCAACAGCGGTAGGTAGTCCCCCAACCAAGGGAAGGGTCCTAGAGGGGTCCTGTGGGGGGAGCCTATCACCCTGCCCCCAGCCCTGGAGAAGAGGCCCACACATGATCCATCTTGCACTTGACTCCCCTCCCTCCCGCTGCTGCCATATCAAGGCCCGAGATCTGAGCCGATTCAGGGAAACGCAGTCGAAGCATAAATGTTTAGCTTTGTTATCTGGACCTGGAAGAGCCGCCAGCTCTCATTTTAAATACCCTGAAAACTAAATATTTTGAAATCAAGAGGTAGGGGGTGGGAGAAGGATATTTTTAGAAGGCAATTATGGGAGGCTGGGCTGCCAGGAGTGGGGCTCCGGAGAGAGGCAGACCCAGGATGTGTGTGAGCCGCCTGCCCACGGCTTTGCTGGGCGCCCGAGTGCAGGCAGCCCGCTCTGTGGGGCCACATGGGGAGGCCTGGGTGCCCTGGATCCCTGGAGGCAGCCTCTGTTCAGGGTTGGCCGGCCTCTCTCCCACAGGTCATCCCCTCCCTAGGAAATGTGCAAGGTCAGGAGCCCATGGCACCCTTAGCTGCCCCTCGCCACAGAGGCAGCCCCCCTGCTGGGCCATCCTCTGGTTGTTGCCCTTGACTGGAAAGTCACCAAGCCTATCTGTCCTCAGGTCGCACCCCCTCCACTCTCGCCCCTCCTCTGAGCCCCACAGCTCTTGTTCCTCCTCCTGACACCCGACCTGTAGGTACCACTTGTTACCTGGTTGTTGGGTTTGCTTCCAGTCCTGCCCATCACAGAATCCAATCCTCCATCTGCCTGCATCGCCTGTGTCTCCACCACACAGCCTTCTGGTACTCCCCACACCCGGTGCAGTCCAACAACAACCCTGGCCTTGCACCTTCAGAGGAGAACCTGGCTCAGACCCGGTCTGCCCTGTGTTCTGAGGGATACCCCTCTCTTCCCAGCCTCTCTGTTCCTCCACTTGCCTGTGGATTTCATAGGTCTGAGTCTTCAAGTCCCAGTCAGTCTTTTTTCTGGATCTCTCGCTCACATCTTTTCTTTTCATTCCAACCCCAACTCGAGGGCACCTCTAGCCCAGGTTTCAGCCCTGCTCACCTGGGCCAGAGTAGTGGCTTCTGAAGGTGCTTTAACCCCATCATGCCCCCACCCTTGAAGCCACAGAACAAGAACTTGACCCCACAGCCCAGCTTATACAAATCTGACCCAAATGATCTCTCCATATTCCCTCTGGAGCCCTGACTCAACCCCATGGTATAGTTCATGGATTAGGAGATTGAAGCTGAGAGAGGTTACATATTCTGCCCAGAGTCAAGCAGGTAGACCTACAGGATGTGAAAGATGTTGGCAAACACAGAGCCCCCTAAGCTCCATGGGGCCATGTCTAGCCTGTTTACCTCTCCAGCCCCGTGGCCCACCACAGTACCAGGCTCAAGTCAGTGCCTGGTAAACACAGAAGGACCACAGACCCTACTTCAGGGCCTCTCCTGACTCCCCATAGCCCAGCCTGGGCATGGCGGTGGTAGGGGCACCTGCACCCTCCTGCCCCTCCCAGCCTGTCTCAAGCCTGGGAAAGGGGACCACGCTAGGCCCGGCATCGTCCCCTGCAGCCAGAGTGGGCAGGCATTCTCAGACCCACTGGGGATTTAAGGTTTCCTATTTTACATTTGAAGACTTTCTTGGTTAGAACTGATAAGAACCCAACATAAAACGATGTTGAGGAATTTATTGGTTTTTAAAACTGAGAAGTCCAGAGGTAGGACTGACCTTAGACCCGACAGAATCCTGGACTTCAGAGCAGGGGCCGGGGTGCTCCTTCCCACAATGTGTTGGCCTCATTTTCTCCTCCTGTAAAATGGGCTTCCCCCACGTTTAGGGAAAGGATCGAGAAGAGGAGGCCATGGCCTCAGACAGCTCCGGGTTTACATCATCCCAGCACCACCCAGGGAAAAGAGATAGCTTGGTCCGTCTGTCTCCATTTACATTGTCACAGGGTTGGATTCTTGTTCTGTGCCCCACTCGGCCCAGCCATGCACTCCGTGGGGGTGGGATGCCATCCTGGCAGGCCCATGTGTGTGTATGCAAAGGGGTGCTGAGGGGCAGAATACCATGAGTGACATCCCTGCTAGAACTACTTCGGAGGCGGGGGGTCGGGTGTGGAGGAAGAAGAAAGGCTGCCCTGCCATGGAGGAAACCACAGTAATGTCCTCTGTCTTGCACAGGGCTTGGGGCCTCAGGTGGGGCTCCATTGTGAGATCCTTCAGATAAGCTGCAGCCCCACCCCTCCTGTGGGCTTCTGTGAGCCCTGAGTAGCCTGGGTTCTGGGCAGGCAGGGATCAGACAGTGGAGCTTTGGGCTGGGCGCTCAGGGCTCTGTGCCTCTCGTCCCTCCAGCAGGCAGGACGGCGGCGCAGCCAAGCTGTGGACAGAGTCCAGAGCTTTGGTCTCATTCCAGTTCTGTCATACAACCCTGAGTGAGTCGCTTCACCCACCGAGTCTTCAGTTTTCCCATCTGAGTTTGAGCCAGATGATCTCTAAGCCCCTTCTCCCTAAAATTCTGGGATTCTCAGGGTTTTTTGTGTCGAGTCTGACATCCTGTGCACCTAGCCACGGCCACCACTACACATATATACCCTCACACCACATCTCTCCAGCTGCCCTTCAGTCCAGGCAGGCAAGAGCCTACCCTTGATGTGGGGAGGTGGACAGAGCCACTGGAGGGGGCCAGGTGGTCCCATGGGGAATGTTTACCAGGTAGAGATGCTCAGGCTCCTGTTTACCCGTGGAACCTGGAAGACTTGCTGCAGCCCCACCCTGAGGAGGGGGTGGAGGGCGGGTAGCGGCAACTGTGCCTGCCCCCCTCTGACTCATTCCAGGGTGGGTTGGCTGGGCCTGCCTGGGCCCTAGGGAAGCCAGTGCTACAGGGGCGGGGTCACCAGAAGAGGGCATGGGAGGGCCGCCAGGGAGCAGCGTCTGCTCAAGGGGCATCGACACAGCCTTGAAAGATGAGGAGTTCTGTCCATGAGCAAGGGGTGGGAGGGCAGCAGCTGCAGTAGCTGGCGGCAGGGAAAACATCTCCACAGCATGAGCTTCCTCCTGGCCCTTGTCTCCTCAGGACCCCAGTGTACTCACTCACCCCAGGACACTGAGGCCTAATAGAGATCTCCTGGGTTTACCTCCCCAGGTGTTTTCTTTAAATCCCCCCAGCCCCTGGCAACCAGAATCTACTTTCTGCTTCTGTGGATTCACCTATTCTGGACATTTCACAGAAATACAATCATAGAATACGTGGCCTTTCAACACTGGCTTTTTCCACTTAAAATAATGTTTTCAAGGTTCATCCATGTTGTAGCATGTATCAGTACTTTCATTTTCATGGCTGAATCGTATTCCGTTGCATGGGTCTACCACATTTTGTTTATATGTTCATTAGCTGGGGTTGTTGCATCATTCTGGTCGTTTCCACATTTGGGCTGTTATGAACAATGCTGCTATAACATTTGTGTCCAAGTTTTTGTGTGGTCATATATTTCAGTTCTTTTGGGTATATGCCTAGGAGTTGACTTGCTTGGTCATATGGTAACTATGTTTAATTTTTTGAGGAACTACCAGCTGTGTTTCAAAGTAGCTGCACCATTTAGCATTTCCACCAGCAAAGTAGGGGGGTTCCCATTTCCCCACATCTTCACCACCACTTGTTATTATCCATCCTTTTTTAATACAACCATCTGAGGGGGTGTAAAGTGGTACCTCTGTGGTTTTTATTTTCATTTCTCTAATGATTTTTCATCAATATTTGTATTTTCTAAGAGACAATGCTTTAATTAATGCTTTAATGCTGATATCAGCAGCAGCCAAGGAGACCAGACTAGACCCTGGAATGGTAGTAGAATGTACCTTTCTCTAAAGAATCAGATATCTTTATTTGCTTGGTAGAGATATTTGTCAGTATTCGTTAAGCACCTACTACATGCCAAGTGCTGTGCTAGACACTGGAGTTCATTCACCAGTGAAGCAGACAGCCTCTGCCCAGATGGAGCTTACCTTCTATTGGAGGTAGCTCAGTTGGTAAAGAATCCACCTTCAGTGCAAGAGACCCTGGTGATTCCTGGGTCAGGAAGATCTGCTGGGGAAGGGATAGGCTACCCTCTCCAGTATTCTTGGGCTTCCCTTGTGGCTCAGTTGGTAAAGAATCTGCCTTCAATGCATAAGACCTGGGTTCGGTCCCTGGGTTGGGAAGATCCCCTGGAGAAGGGAAAAGCTGTCCACTCCAGTATTCTGACCTGGAGCATTTCATGGACTATATAGGCCATGGGGTTACAAAGAGTTGGACACGACTGAGCAGCTTTCACTTTCAGGCTTTAGACAACTAGTAATTGCACAACTAGTCCTTTAATTGTTAGAATAAATACTTTAAGTTACAAAACTAAGAGAAAGAGTAAGGGAGGAGACCTGAGCAGCTTCTCTGAGACACTGATATTTTGAAAGTCCTGGACAAGGAGTCACTTGGCCTCTTAGAGGAGCTGAACTAAGCCAGTGGAGTCTGAATATACTGCAAGACAGGGACAAGACAAGAAGCAGGACATATGGTGAGGCCCAGATTAGACTTGGGGAGGGCTGAGTACAAAACCACTGGAGGGTTTTGATACTGGAAGCGACTGATCAATTTACATATTTTAAAGACCACTCTGGCAGCAGCCACAAAGCAGAAAGATTAGAGATGAAGGCAAGAGTGAGGAGAGGAAGACCTACAAGGAGGCAACTGTGGCCATCCAAGAAAGAGACCATGGCGACCTGAGGGCTGGAAGGGAGGCAGTAGTAAGACGTGGTAGAGCCCCAGGAGGTACGGAGGCCGGCCTCAGCAAGAGACAGCTGGGGGACCAACAATCAGAGACTCGCTCCAAGCCTTTGGTTCATGCTGTTTAGTCACAGAGGTGAGCAAGGGTAGAGGAGCGAGTGGCAGGGCACAGGAGTGGGAGCTGCGTTTGGGGTAGCCTAGCACTGTCCCCGGGGTGGTGGCTAGGGAGCGGCCAGATTCTCTCACTTGGAGGTCATTGGTCATCTTCACCTCCCCAAACATGGGAGAACACAGTGAAAGATGAAGGGAGTGTGAGACATTGCCCTCGGAGCCCACATGTGCTGGAAGAGCATGACTGCACATCTTCCATGTGGAAATCTTCCTGGCAGGAACCTCTACCACCAGCACAGTTGGTGACTTGGGAGGGCCCTGCCATTACAGGGGTGGCCTCCAGGTACTACTTTCTGAGGTGCAAAGGCCTTTCCCCCACACTTTCTGCAACCAGTTCCCCCACTGCCCTCCCTTTTGCCTTTCCAGAGCCCCAGCCTAGTCCCTACTGTGGCACAGTTCTGAAAGCCCCAGGCCATAGATCCCAGCCAGGGCCCCGTCTTCCTTCCTTCAGGAGTCATCCTCCGCCTCCCAAGTCCTGGGTGCGTGCAGACGTGCAGGGGGGCAGACCCAAGTGTGTGGCCGTGGTCCCACCACCATCCGTGCTCCTGCCCAGCGTCAGGCAGGTTCTGCCACCCCTGACAACAGAGGGCATCAAGATGGCCTGAGGTTTCCCTGGCTTGGCCAGGGACCCAGAGAGGACCCGGGCCTGTGGTCCACATCATGTTTGCATCCATCTGTCAAGCCTTGGTGCTGATGTATTCTTCCAGGATGGACCAGGTGCCTGGTGAGAATATGCAGCCAGACATCAGGAGCCCTGAGGCCTTGATACAACACACCCTGGACTCTGGAAGGCTCTTCTCTGCTCTTTCCTCACTTTTCCTTGGCAGTGCAATCAAAGGGCAGGGCAACCTTTAGGGTCCTCCCAGCAATGAGATTTTACAGCTCACAGGCGTGGTCATCTCAGCTGTTTCTCTTCTCTGTCCCTTTCTCTATTCCCTGGGTCTCACTGACCCAGAAGCATGTGGGTCCCAGACGAGTGTGGGGTTGCACAGAGGTGGGAGACGTCAGCAGGGGTGGGGCTCAGGAATGCCAGACCAGCAGCAGGCACGGTGTGCTGGGAAGGTGGGAGTTGGCCCTGCCCGCTGGGTTTTATCAGCGAGCTCCTCAGACATATACAGAGGCAGAGCTGTGTATACACTCCCGTTCCCGCGCTCCATCTGTCTCTCCACACGTCTAAACACTCAGGGCGCCAAGTGCTTGCCCTCCTCCTCCTCCTCTTGTCCCCCCACTTACTGCGGGGGATGGTGGAGACTCAGTACCCCTGAGGAGACAGAACTGGCCAAGGTAGGATGGGCCACCTGTCAGGAGGCGGCTGTTGGGCGGACAGGAGAGGCCCTCCCAGCCCCAGAGACTGTGGGGGGAACAGGAACCCGTTGATGGCCAGTATGGATACACAGCCTGAGGGGTTAGCTAGCAGATAAAGACTGAAATTGAGGGTAAGAATTTCCACTTGAAACCAGGCTTCTGGGTGCCATCCCACTGAGGAGCCCTGCTTTGGGGATTTTCATTTTTCAAATGAATCTGATCCATCAGAGACGTGTAGTCTGGGTTAGCAGCCTTGAACCCAGGCTTGTTCTCACCTAGTTTCCACATCCCAGCTGTCCCCTAGCCCTATCCCTAGCGACCTAAAGCCCTAATTTATAGCCCAGGCTACCCAAGGCCTACCCTCTGGGGGCAGAAGTGGGGGAGCTGCCTGGCAAGAGCGGACATGAAGGCCCTGGATGCTTCTGGAGATATAGTGGCCTTTGTGGCGTTTCTGGGAGGCTTGTCCCCACCCTGGGACAAAGGAAGAAGAGAGGGGATCTAGGGATCTCCCTACATCTCCCAAGACCTTAGAAAATTAGTGTCCAAAAAGGTGCCATTCTCTGCAAAGCCCAGTTTCCTCCATTCACACCCTGGTCCATGAGAGCCCCAGTGGTGCAGATGGATGTACATGTCTCATCCCTGCACCCTGTGACTTGCCCCCCACATAAGACATGGTGCTTCATCCCACCTTCAGGGGTGCCCCCAGAAAGGCAGGCATGCGGGGAAGCAGTGGAGGTGGGCCCTTATTTCAGAAAACAGAGCAGTTTCTGCCAGCCTCTCCTCCCCTTCAAAAAAGAAAATCTTCCCAGCCTTTGGAGGTTTGCCTAGAGCATGAGTGCACTGTGGTGCTGGATAGATGATCAGAGCTCACAGTGGGCTCCCCTTGGCCTTGTTTGGTGATTTGAGGGACTCCCAGCCATTCCTAAAGTCTCCAATCATCCAGCTCTGAGATGGGCCATGAAGGACCATGAAGAAGGTGATTCCTGGGGCCCGGCAGTGGTCTCCGTGGGTCACCAGCACGTGTCTCTCATACCTCCAGTGAGCACCACTCTATCATCCTGGTCGGGGCACGCTCGGAAGTGCAACGAGACAGCCAAGTCCTACTGTGTCAATGGAGGTGTCTGCTACTACATCGAGGGCATCAACCAGCTCTCCTGCAAGTAAGTGACCAGTTGGGGGGTGGTGGGCGTGGGGGCAGGAGCAGGGGGAGAGAGGCCGGGGCAGAAGTGGAGGGCTCTAGGAAAAAATGGGCTTCAAGCCATTGATAAGGGGTTTCCCAGGGGGTATAGTCAGGGAGGTTTGCCCCACTTCCTAGCCCTTTCCTGGAATTCAGGGAGATGTAAGCTCCAAAGGGCTCAGGGCTTCTGCAGTCCCAGTGTCCCAGGCCCCTACCCACCCAATCTTCCAGTGTCCCCGCTTTCACTGACACCTTCTAGGGAGATGGCGAGACCAGTCTCTGCCCTGGGCAGTGGGCACTGGATTCTCTCTCTCTCTCTCTCTCTCTTTCTTGCCCTTCCCATCTCTCAGCAACTTTCCAAACTTTATTCTGATGAACACTGCCGGGGTCGCATCTTCCCAGCAGTGAGAAGCCAACAGGGTCAGGCGTCAGGCGGGACAACCGTCCCAGAGCCCATGCTAGCTGAGGTCTGCTCTGTTCTCCCTGCCAGCAGGAAGCCAATGCCCAGATATGCGCTGGCTGCCCATGCCACTTCAGTCTCTAGTCCCTCTCTGGGGTGTGAGGGGCCACCAGCAAGGACATCACTCGGGTGTGGCCGAGTGGGCAAGGTCAGGGTTGAGGACAAAGCTCATGTTGGGACTCTGCCTCCCCAAGGGCTGCCTCTTAGGACCTCCCAGGAGCTGAGGACCGCTGCTCCCACCCTTAGCCAATAGGGCTGGTGGAAGCACAGTGATCAGGGAGGGCTTATTGGGGCCCAACCAGGTCTTCTGGGAGCTGGCGCCCGCTGGCCCTTGACAGATCCTCTGGTGGGCGAGCCAGGAAAGGTAGGGGAGCTGGTGAGGGCAGCACAGGTTCTGGCCTGATCTAAGGAGCAGAGGGAGCTTAAATACTCAGTCATGTCCGACTCTTTGCGACCGCATGGACTGTAGCCCTCCAGGCTCCTCTATCCATGGGGATTCTCCAGACAAGAATACTGGAGTGGGTTGCCATGCCCTCCTCCAGGGGATCTTTCCAACCCAGGGACTGAACCCAGGTCACCTGCATTGCAGGCAGATTCTTTACCCTCCAAGCCAGAGGAGCAGAGGGAGGGAGGCCTAGTTAGCAACTCCGGGTTTCAAAGCAGCCTTGGGCTCTAGTGAGGTGCCAAAGCTGCCCCGTTCCCCATGGCATCTGGGCACAGGCCAGCAGGGCATTGATGAAAATTCAGGGGGAGGCGTTTGCCAGCCCCACAGACAAGGTCCAGTAAGTGCTCCCAGCTCTCCTGCCTCTGGCCTCCAGCTCCCTCCTGGTTATGACCTTGGCCAAAGGCAGCCCCACCTCACAGCGTGATAATGGGGGCCACGCCTCCTTCATGCTCTCCCCTCAGTGGACAGCCAGGCACTCCCTGGGCTCCAGCCGGCCTCCTCTGCCAGCATTTGTCTTGGTCCACCTTCTACCTGCTGCCATCTACCTTCCAGCCTCCCCCATCCTGGATCTCAAGGGACAGTGCCCAAAGAAACAGCAGGTCCCCTGGGAAGTTCGCAGTCCAGACTCAGTCCCTCATCCTCTCTTTCTTCCTCTAGGACAGTGTCACAGACCCTGGGAACATTCTAGCCTTGAAAATGCTCTGAGCACTTAGGAATAGATCTATAGAAATGTGTTAAGAGTTCTGGAATACCTTACAAAGATGGCCCAGCCCTGGACCCCCTCCTCTTATCTCCTACAACACACACACACCAAGCTTCTCATCTTCTCTAGCCCCTTGGACTCCCAGACCCTTGAAAGGACCCAGCATTGTCACTGATCAGCCCTGGCTCCAGACAGGAAAGGTTGCAGCCAGCCAGGACAGGTGCTGGGGCTGGGGAGGGCTGCGGAGCCCAGGACTCTAGTTCTAGAGCTTAGTGTGGAAAAGAGAACAATAAGCTATAGGGTTCCTGGGGACCCCTGCCAGCAAGGCTGTACGCCTAGGACCCTCTGGGTCCCACCCAGCTGAATCTGAGAGGAGCAGGGTGCAGGAGCCTGAGCCATTGTGAAGATGCTGTCCTATCCCCACCCCAACCAGGACAGCTGGATTTCACTGCTTAGAACCTGAGCTCGGTACCCAGAACTGCCACCTCCCCACCTTAACCCCAGCCAAGGCTCTTGGAACCAACTTCCCTGACTCCCTGGACTCCCAGGAGAGGGGAACCCCTGGTGGGGATGGCAATCAGGAGGGCAGGTCTTCAGAGCTGTGCTGGAGAAGGGCAGGGGGGAGGGGGGCAGGGCAGAACCCAGAGGCCATTCTGAGGGTGGGTGAGCTGGGAGGGAAGGGGGGCAGGCCTTTTGGGGTTCCTGATGACACCCTGAATGGAATGGATGAAATAAAAAGGAGAGAACTTAGGAAACGGAACTCACGTTGTACCATTTGTGCTGTTTGTTTACTTTTTTATTTTGATTTTTTTGCATTTCCGCTTAGCTTGGATAATGAAACTAAACTGGTCAGTTTCATTCCAGTTTTCGACAAAAATCAGTTTTCCTTCCTGGTTTTCTGACACTTGTTGTTGTGTATTGGTTCCGAGCCCTGCGGGGAGTGTTGGAAAGCGGGCACACTCCATCCCTCCTGTTTTTCTAGAATTCAGAGCCAAAAGAAAGTGTCACTGATACTGAATTTTGTTTTAAAAAGGAAAACTTAGGGGGATTTGAAAACGGGGGTCCAAATCATGGTGACCGCCTCCTGTCTGGGCCAGACAGGGGCCTCTGCACTTCCTCTTGCTGCTTTCTCCTCTTCTCTCCGTGTTTTTATAGAGCACGGTTGGTGCGTGACTCTTGGGGACTGGTTCAGGGGATGATGACAGAACAAGACTCTTTCCAGCCCTGTGCACATACCAGTGGCATGCCTCTCCTTGCCATCAGCCCATCCCCTCATCCCCCGCTCCCATGTCCAGGTGATCCCTCATCCCATCCCCATCTGCCTGCTCATCCTCTCCACCTCCACACCCCCCCCACCCCCCACCCCCCGCTCATGAGGCCAGAGACCTTTCACTCCCTCCAGTGCCCGGGGCACACCCTCACCCCTCATCCTCCCCTTCCCCTGGGTGAGGGCAGCACACATGGCATTATCCCCAGGCTACCAAAAGGAGAAACTGAGGCCCAGGAGTTGGGGTGGGAAACCAGGGAGGCAGAGTCCCAACCTCTGTCATCCCAGGTGCAGCCCGCGGGCTCTCCTCTCTGCCCCTCTCTCACCCCTGCTCTTCTCCAGCCCTGAGCACAGACCTCCTCGTAGTCAAGGATAATGGCATGGGGCTAAGGGCCAGGAAGCCTGTTCCCCATGTCCCTGAAATTCAGGGAGTCAATCCCTGAGTGGGAACTTACCCACTCCCAGCCAGCCATGCCAAGTTCAGCCCCTGCTCCTGGTTGACAGGCTAATGTAGCCTGTTCCCTGTTACCAAGTCCTAGGAGCAAGGTGGCAAGGCTGTTGGCCACCCCCAGAGCCTTCTCCAGGTCTGCCCCCAGCGTCCCAGACTTTGGCTTATCCTCAACAAGCAAAGCTAATGAAAGGAGCCAGGGTACTGCCCCGTGAGGTGCCCACCTCCCACTGCCTTCTCCTTTGTTCAGCCAGCAGGGAACACACTTTCCCAGGGAGGAAGGGTAGGACTATATTGCACAACAACAGAGGGCTTTTCTGTGTTAGACAGAGTCCACGGCACCACCTGGAGTTGTGCAACTCTGTGGCCATGAAAAATAGGAGGATACAGTTGGGGTAGTCCAGGCTGGGTATGGGGCCAGGAACATAGGGATGTACTTAATTATCCTCCATCTCCAAGAGCCACAGGAAAGCATCCTGGCTCTCCAAAATGGGAATAAATTCCCCTCTGTCCCCTCCTGCTCCTGCACTCCCCATTCTGTCTCTTACACACATGTGTGTGCACGCGCGCACACACACACACACACACACACACACACACACAGGTTTCCCTTGTCTCCAGAGCCGGGCTAATCTCAGACATTGGATACAGTCAAGCCTCTCTCTTATTCCTTTGAGGATTCCAAGAGTCATTTTGGCAACTTCCTGGGTCTATATCTTTCACCCCCAAAGGTGCTTCCACTTTGGGAAAAAATCACTTCTACGCCTCTCCTCCCATTCCCAAGTGGAATCAGTTTGTGAGAGCTGAGAAAGGAAAGCTAAGCCCGACGTGAGCTGGATTGAAAGCCTTAGCCACTGCCTCCATTCTCCTGGGCTGGGATGATTGGGGATGAGGGCAAGGGAGTCAGAAAAGAATGTACTGACAAAGTTGTAGCTTCCTCTTCCAAAGCACCCTGTTCAACAGGATGAGGGTGCATCAGCTTCCCTGGCAGGCTCCCTTCCTCCCTTCTCCATATACCCCCTCCTCCACCACAGCTCTTTGGCCAGACATACTTGCATACACACTGCCCCTACTATAAGGACCAGCCTCCTGCCTCACCTGAGGGAGATACCCTAAGGCCCACAGAGACTCCAGCTGTCTGCTCATCAACCGCTCCCAATCCTCCAGGCTAGATTGGAGGCCACAGGGTTTTTGTGAGGATCTTTACAGCCAATGGCCATCACCCCCTGTAAGTTCAAGGGGCTACTGATGGTTGGTATATACTAAAATGCTAAGAGATATATAGTACATTCACCTCTTGGGGAAGTTTACTGATGAACCGTATTGGTCTGTTACTAAGGGGTCACTGGTGATGGGCTTACCTAATTTCCTAAATTAAAGAGGCAGAAGAGCATAGACCCATCTTTGAGTAGGGGGCTGGGGGTGGGGGTCATTCTGGCCCTGTCTGTAAGCTTCCCTTAAGTACTTGGCCTTGCTGGGGTTCAGAAAAGCGTACAAGGCTGGACATGTCTCCCAGAAATCTGCCAGACAGGAAATCACTTGGAGGGAGAGAGGCAGCTAGGGAGCAGAAGGAAGTGGACCTTGGGGATAAGGACAAGGTCAGGGAGATGGGAGTGGGTGGTTCTCTGTAGGAGGCAACGAGGGAGAATGAACTCCCTCCAGAGCCACGCAGTGACAGAGGAGCAGGTCATGGGGAGAGGGCAGGCATCCCAGGCAGCCAGTTGGCCCCCTGATGTGGAAGAGGCTTTGGGGTCTCCAGGGAGCCTGCTTTAGTCCCCCTGCATCATGATTCTTGCCACCCACACCCACCCTGGGCCCACCAACTTTGGGATGCTGGTAATTCAGGCTCCTCTCCACCCTCACTTGTCCCCCACTAAGCTTTCCCCATATATACTGCTCCAGAGCAGCCTTCCCCAAACTGCATGTTCACAAGAATTCCTCAGAAAAATGACTTCCAAGGTCAGATAAATTTGGAACAAACTGGAAAGTTCAGCTCTTTCCTCCTAAAAATTTCCTCATGGCCTTTCATATGCTAACGTGCACCGCAACTCTACCAGGAAACCCAGCAATGGATTTCCTCAACTTGTTTGGCCACAGAACCCCTTTTTGAAAGAATAGATGAGACACCTCCGAGGCCCCTTTTGTTGTGGGCACACAACCTGGGAACAGCATTCTCATTCTCCTTTAAGCTTTCTGGAGGCTGCTTCATGGATGAGAAATCCTACCCAGGGCCCTGGAGAGAACCCTTTGGTGGGGCCTGGAAGGAATGGCTCCCTAGAACTTGGTATTCCAGAAAGCTCCCAACCCTCCCCACCCCACACCCCACCTGCTGACTGCCTGGCACCAAGGGGCTACAAGTCTGGCTTCATGGGGCCCCAGGCAGGTCAGAAGGGAAGTCTCAAGGACCATTAGGACCTTTAGGCAGTAAGTTCCCAATTTCCCCCACCCAGCTTCCCCAAACCATCTTTTCCCTACCCCCACCCCTGCTTCCCCACCACCTGAAGCCACATCTATTAGAGAGATTTTGAAGGAGACTTCTGAGCCCTCCACCCAGCCCCGACTCCAGCCCCTCCAGCAACGAGTGTGCCCCAGCGCTCGACTTGGTTTTCTCATTCATCACTGTGCACTTTGATTTCTAACCTAAGCCTCGCGGATGATGCCAGTTTGTTCTGTGATTTTTCCCCTTTTCCTTCTCCAGATGTCCAAACGGATTCTTCGGACAGAGATGTTTGGAGAAACTGCCTTTGCGATTGTACATGCCAGATCCTAAGCAAAGTATGTTTGAAGATACAAACACAAGTCCCTGCTCCTTAGAAAGCTTCTGGGTGCAGTCCCCCCCACTCCCCCCCGTTGTAGGACATAGGGCCAGGGGTGCTGGTTGTTTTGATCTTTGGCTGTTTTTGGTTTCCTTTTCGTATTTTTGGTTTGTTAGTTCTTTTGTTTTGCTTTTTCATTTTTGGCCTGATCCTTGGGTTTAAAGTTCAGGGCTGCAGGTAAGGGGCAGAGTGGTGAGGCCGGTACAAATGGTTAACAGTGGCAAGGAACCCAACTGGCATTGGCAGGAGCCCATGCCGGGGTGTTGCAATGCCTGTGTCTTGCTATCCTGGCTCTCTCTTTCTGGTTTTCTTTCTTTTGGTAGGTGTCCTGTGGGATACACCGGGGACAGGTGTCAGCAGTTCGCAATGGTCAACTTCTCCAGTATGTCTCTTTCTTCTATTTCTTTCCTTCCCTGCTAACTGACAGTTCTTCCCCACCCCACCCCCCACCCCATGGGAAGGATGGGGGCCTTGCTTTCAGAGACTGGGGGAGGGGGACGCGGGGGTGTCCTCTCAGTCCTCATCAGACAACTGTGCGTCTTACCGAACCAAACTTGGGTCAGCTCACCCAACATGCAGCAAAGCTAACCTACCAAACCAGGTTGAGGGGAAAGAAAGAATAGCGCTTATTGCAAGGGTGGCAAGCAGAGGACATGAGCAACTCCAGGGAAGGGATTGGAAAGACTGTGGGCGGATGGGGTCACGAGGTATGTGTCCAGCTCGTGCTCAGGCTCTCACTGGCTGGTGGCGAGGGAACAGGGTGATGCTTCAGGAATCTCAGTGATCAACCTTCTGGCTCCACTCAGCCTGGGGCCTGCGTGGGGGTGGTCATCACCTGCTGGGGGTTTTAGTATCTGAAAAACAACTCAAGGGTATACCAGAGGTCCCAGACTTTGTTTTATGGCTAAACTCGTATTATTTTGTCTTGTTTGATTGTTTTCCGTGGTTTCTGCACTTTCTCACTTCTCTAATTAAATGTGCTCTTTGGAACTCGATGAGAAAGGCCTGGGAGGCTAAAGCCTTTCTACAAACAAGAGGCAGGGATGACTGGGGGGTCATTCCTGGGGAAGGACCTACAGGGCCCTGCTCAGTTTCATGCAGAGGGGACTGATACAGCTCCTGCCTCCTCTGCTTGGTCACAGTCACACTGGAGTCTCTTTGCAGCTGGGCAGAGCCAGACTCGGGTCTCTTCTTCACCAGGGGTCAGGCAGCCTGGCCAGGATGGGAAGAAGCATTTGCAGAGCCCTCGCCTGCCTCTTGAGAGCCTGTTTGAGGATGTCAGGCTGTTGAGGGGGTTGCGGGGGTGGTGGGCGGGGCCGGGGCGCGCAGGGCTAGGCAGTGAGTGTGTGCTTGTGTGTTTGAGAGAGAAACAAGTTTTCAGAAAGCCTGCTTTTGGATCTGGGATCTGGCCAGAGTTTGTTTCGGTTTGATTTAGGGAGATGGGGAGAATGGGGAAGAGGATTGAGGGAATACAGGCCCCAGGGCAGTGGTTTCCATGAAGACTAGAGACATCAATGCGACTAAATGTTGATGGAGGAGGAGGTTATTGTTTGTTGCTCGACTTGGGCTTCCCTAGTGGCTCAGCAGTAAAGAATCCACCTGTAATGCAGGAGACGTGGGTTCAATCCCTGGGTTGGGAAGATCCCCTGGAGAAGGAAATGGCAACCCACTCCAGTATTCTTGCCTGGGAAATCTCAAGGACAGAGGAGCCTGACAGGCTACAGTCCATGGGGTCCCAAAGAGCTGGATATGACGTAGCAACTAAACAACCAAGATTGTTAAAACCTAGAGGGAGTAAGGAATGGAGGAGTAACTGGCGACTCTCTCCAGGTCCTCTCTGGTCTGAGTCCCCATCCAGGACTTCATTCTCTTCCTCTCTTCCACTTCTGAAGGTGGAACTTTCTGGTTTGCACAGTGTGCTGAGAATAGTGTGAGCCCTGGAGCTGGGGGATGAGGCCATGACTGTGGCGGGTTTTATCTGGGGCTGGGAGCAGTTCCTTCAAGCGCCGTCAGGTGGCGGTGGAGCAGAGCAGAAAGCCACAGACTGGCCGTGGACTCCATCTGGGGCCCAGCGGTCCATGGCCCCCATCCTCCAGAGTTCACTAGGCCCCTAATCAACCTGCCATCCACCTCCTCCTCTCCAGGGAGGACAGATGGGTCCCCTGAGGAATTCAAACTGGATTGATGGTGCCTGACATGAAGGGGCCGAGGGCAGGCCCCCTAAGAAAAGGGATTTGGGGCTCAGGGTAGAGAAAGGAACCTCCCCACCCTTCTCAGACCATAGCTCAAAAGCCTAGATGATCCCCCTCCACAAGAACCTGGAAGCCAAGATTTGACGAGGAGAGTGGAGGTGCCAGGGAGGTGGGGGCTGGTCAGCCCAGATGATCAACTATCTTAATAGGGTGTTGGGGGCAGCTCTCGCTCCATGCCCCTCCCATTGGAGGCCAGGGAGGAAGGCCGTGGGGATAGGAACTGAGCCTGTGGGCACGTGGCCCAACAAAATTCTCCTGAGCCCAGGCTCCAGGACCAACTGCAGAGTCAGATCAGCCCTGTTGGAGGACTGCAAGTCAGGAGGGTAGAGCAGCCAGGCAGGGCTGAGGACCAGGAGAGAGACAGTGGAGGGCCTTTTCCTTCTCCCCCTTCGGCCCAGAGCCTCCCTAGCTTATGGGACTGTTCTGGACAGGGAGTCCCAGTGCATCCTGAATCAGAGCAGTGGAGCCTCCAGAACTCGGCCGCCGTCCAAGCTTCCCTACCAGCTGGGCGTCTTCAGCTTTCAGCTCAGGTCTCCTGGGAGGGTCAGCCGGGCCCCGGGAGCCCAGGAAAGACTCTGGAAATGCAGCCTTTCTGCCTGGTGTTATTGGGATTCTTGCTGGCACCTTTTGGTAAAGGATTTATACTCTTCAAGCACTTTGCCCGGAGCACTTCATGCACTGCTCTATCAGATGCTTATTGAGAAGGGAGTGTAAAATGCTAACTTAAGTGTTCAGGCTTGAATTCAGAGGGACCTGAATAATATTGCCAGCAGCTAAGCTTACTGTTCTGGGGGCCTCATTTAGCTTCTCTGATTTTCTTGTCTGTAAAATGGGGATAATGGCATCTATGCCCTGAGGGTCGCTGTGAGGATGAAACAAAAGGAGACACACGACAGGCTTAGTTGAGGGCCTGCAGTTGTTGCTTGAACACAGCCAAGCTCTTCTCCCAGCTACTGCTAGCCTGGGGGTGAGGGCCCCCCAGAGGCTGACTCTCAGCATATCCTGAGCAAAGTGTCTGACCTTCCCCCTCTGTCCAGACAGCCTCTAGACCTGCGGCCACAGTAACTTCCCCTTCTTCCCCTGATAGCTCCTCCACTTCCTAAGAATCAAAACCTGTGCACCTGGATACCCCTCACGTACAAGAGCACCAATCTGCACACACACTCACAAACACACGAGCACATGCCTACAATTGCACGCCAACACACACGTGTGCTGACACCTGCTTACACAGGCACACACACACGAGCACATGAGCACATGCTCTTGGGTCCACCTCAGGACCTCCTCATCCAGGAGCCTGTGACCGTGTGTCTCAGGGCCTATCCAGGACGGAGACTTTGCCTGTTGTCTGATCAGCCGGCCCTCCTGGGAGTTGAGCAGCAGGTGACCATGGTTACTGGTCAGTATGCAAATTTCTGTCCAGTAGGACCTGTCTGTGACTTGTGTCACTCTATGCTGGCTGAGTGGCAATCAGTGAATATGATGAGCAGAAGGCTATTTGGGTTTTTGTTTGGTTTTTGTTTTGCTGGGGCTGACACAGCTGCAGGCCCCTCAGAATCCACCCATGGGGCAAGGGAAGCGGGGCTGCCTTCTAGTGGCCAGCCAAGCCCTCAGTCGCATAACCAGTCCTGCCAGCTGCTGCTGTTGATCCCAGACAGTGCTGGCCTTTGACTCAAAGGGGAGGCCAGTCAGGAGCCCCTGAAGCTGCTGCTGTACTGCTCGGTTCCCAGAGGAGTGATACAGGGGAAAACTCTTAAATGACTTTGGGAGCCCTGCTCACTTCTCCAGGTGGTCGTTGTCCTGAGGACTAGCCAGTCAGGCCTGCCCAGGCACTCAATGGGCAGGAATAGCCATGGCTTAGCCCCAAGAGATCACAGACCTGGCCTGTAGCCTCCTTTCTGCCTCCAAATTTTCTGTGTGACCTTGGGAAAGTGTCCTAGCACCACTGGCCCCCAGCTGCCTCATCTAATACAAACACCACCACGAGTACAGCCCAAACCGGCTATGTGACCCATAGTTCTCTCAGCCTCTGGGGTGCTGTGGCCAAGTGGGCTCTTCTCTCTGGAGAGCCTGGGTGCATATCCAAATGCTGTGAGCTCTGTCGAGCTGCCTGGAGGGTCCCTAGTGCTACAGGATTAGCCGCTCAGTGAGAGCCGCCCCTGAGGAGCCCTTGAGTCTGTCAAGTTTGTGCTGCTTGCTTAGCATAGCTGGCCAGCCCAGGGAGCCCCAAGAGAGGAGAGGACTCGCTGTGTTAAGAACTCCTACCTTCTAAAGCACATGCAAGACCACAAAGAGGTCACCCTCAACCTCAAATTTAACAGGAGGGTTCATGTTTGGAAGAGCTGGGGTTCATGTTTCAAGGGTGTGGTCGCTGCCTGGAATCGAGGGGTCAGAGCCCCAGGATCTTCCTCAAGGCTCTTTCAGTCAGAGCCGTCCTGCTCTCTTGCCATTTTCCAATGGCAGAGCCCTCTGGACTCCCTGTCAGGAAGCAGAGGAGAAATCCAGGGCTGGACACACATGCCCATGCTCCCCTCCTCCACAGGAGATGAGATGAGAACCTCAGAACACAATTCCACCTCCTGGGCTCTGGGGGAGCTTGCTCTGCATGTGGGGAGGCCATGGAGAGGGCCCTGGCCCATCACCTTGCCCATATTCCTCTCCCTGGCTACAGGCACCTTTGACACATGAGGAAACAGAAACTATGACTTGCCCCCCTACACGCACACAGCAAACTGGGGACAAAAGAGAGACTCGAAGCCCACACTCAGATGCCGGCTGCTACCGTAGAATGCTAGGTGCACTTTCCAAAAACATTGGGGAGATTTCTAGGCTCCCACCCCAGAGCCCGGTTCCGTTGTCCTGGATGATTCTGAAGCACAGCCGGGTTGCAGACCTTCCAGGGATCCCGTAGCCAGGCCTGATCCCCATTCAACAGATGAGAGACTGAGAGCCAGACAGGCAGGGAACTCTGGGGTCACACAGCAGGTCAGTGCCAGAGCTGATTCCTGGGCAGGCCCTCTTACCTGAGCCTTCGATGTCCTGGGCGACTACCTCGAAGGGCCGTGAAATTGCACATTCACAACATGATCCCACTTCAAGGAGCACAACTGACTGCCATGCAGGGGGCACAGGTGTTCTACAGGTGGCACGCTTGTCTCTTTCTCCAAGTGAAGTTTGCTTTCCTAAGTGGTGAAAGTAGGCTGACACCCCAAGGCCTCACCCCTGCAAGTTTCTAGGATGTTGGGGGTGTCAGGTGGAGAAGTGATCTGCCCCCCTCCCCACTCCTGCTCCCCACAGACTCTGAGCCTCTATGCCAAGCTCCTAGTAGATGGGCAGGCCAGTGAGGCCCGAGGGGACAGAACAGGGACAAGGAGCCAGTCTGAGTACCCTCTGCGCTCATTCTGAACAGAAAAAAGGACCCCGTGAATGAGCTCAGGCAGAGCAGGCTGTCTCCAGGAGGGGCTGACGCTGGAGCTGGGAGGGGGAGTATGGGGATGCCTCAGACTCCTGCCCCCCACTCACTTTCCTCCCCGGGGACATCTGCCAACTGACTTCTGCCCCTGCCCACCAGGTACTAACCCCACAGCTCATCTCTAAAGAACCCGCCCTGCCTGCTGAGCCTAACCCTTCTTCTCCCTACCCCCCAGCAAGGGCTCCTGGGGGCTGGGTGCCAGGGAAGGGGCTCAGGAGGCTGGGAGGGAACCCCACTAACCTGCTTTCACCTCACAGGCTGCTGCTGGTGTCTGAAGAGTCCTGACCAACGTTTCTCTCTCTCTCTCTCCCCCACCCTTCCCCCATCTCTGTCTGTATCTCTCCCTCCATCCCTTCCCCCTCTGACCCTCCTCTCTCCCGCACTGCCAGAGCACCTTGGATTTGAACTAAAGGGTACGGAGCCTCTATGTATGGGTCAGCACCAACCACACAGCCCCTCTCCTCAGCCTCTGACACCATGTGTGCTGGATGTTGAGTTTCCTTTCCCCCAAAATGGAAAAGGGAGGATTTCAGAAATCCCCCCGTCCCTGCCAGGATATCCTATAATAAACTACACTGATGGGGAGACAAGAAAAGCTTATGCATGGCAGGGTGCCCTGGGGTTCAGACTGTGCCCAGTTACAGCAGCGCCCCCTTGCCTGGGGCTGATCACCAGGGTACTCAGGGGAACAGGCCCTGTGAGCTGTATGCGGCCCAGTGGGTTGGCCAAAAAGCCAGGTCCCTCGGAAAGTGAGTGTCCAGAAGCCACAGAATCTTGCTTCGGAGAACTGTGCAGAGAGGCAGCCCTTTCAATTTAACTTTAATCCTCCTTCCTTTTCCCATTTCCATTTCCATTGCTTTTCATTCTGCACCGGGCTGGCAGCTGATAACACCTATTTGTCTTCGCCCCCTGCCTCGTGTTTGTCTGCCAGGCTTTGCCATCTGCTTGAGGCTGTTACTCCCATCATGATCTGTCTCCATGAGGGCACGTGTGTTTGTCTATGGGCAGCACCAGTGAGGGTCTAGGGTGGGCTGGTACCTCCTGCCTCCCAGCTCAGAACCTTACCTCCCTCCCGTGACTGCCCTCTGGCCCCTGGGAGATGCCCTGGGCAGGAAGGAACTCTGAGGTCCATCTTCCCAGCTCTCTGGCTTTGTGCTGGGATCCTCCACCCCAGTCCACACATATTATATAGCCGAAGAGAAGCAGGAGCTCAAGAGGGGTTGAGGCTTCGATGCAGTCAGACCTCAGATGTGTGCAGAGCTGGCAGTTATGAAAACGCTGTTCTTATGGCAGGTTTGGGGAGGTCCTAGTTCCCCCATCACCTAGCCACCATCAGCTATTCTCAGAAGATGGAGCTGAAAGTCTATGTGTAAGAGTATGTCTGTCTGTCTATCTGCTGTGATGGGGTGGGGAGGAGAGGGGTCAAGTCTGTAGTGTCCGTGTGATCCTGACAGGGGACATGGGTGAATCTGTAGGGGTGTGTGTCTGTGTTGTTATGGGGGGCTGATGTGTTTACACCTCGTTGGGTCTCTCAGTGCAGGGTGTGAGCACACGGAGGGGTGCAGTGGGTGCAATCTTTGTTGTTAAGAGTTGAGCATGAGCAGTGGGTGTGGAGGCAAGTGTGAGCATCTATAATGTAACTGTCTGTAAAGGTGGTCTGTATATTCATTCAGTCACCAACTCAAAAACATCTCCTGAGCCCCAGAGTTGGCCAGACCCTGGGGATCTAGCATGCAGAGTTGCTGCCCTCCTGGCAGAACAAGCAAACAAGAAAGATATCAGGTGGCGGTAAGCATTATACAGAAAATATCAGGTTAGCCAAAAAGGTTGTTTGGATTTTTCCTTAAGATGTAATAGAAAAACCCAAATGAACTTTTTGGCCAGCCTAATAAAAGGAAATGGGACAGCACCTAGCCAAGGTGGGGACTGACTCTTAACTAAGTGATCAGAGGTTTGTCCAACGAAGTGATGTTTGGGCTAAAACTTGACAGAAAGTAGCCAGCCCTGCAAACAGTAGGTGGGGGTGGAGTGTTTATGGTGGGAACACAGCAAGTTAGGGATGACATGGATGGGCCTGCCCTGTTCAGTGGGCAGAAGGACTGCCAGTGACTCTGGAACACAGCAGATGTTGGGGAGAAGACCACAGATGGGATTGAAAGGAAGGGACCGGGTGACCCTGGGTCTTGTGGGCCACGGTAAGGCTTTAGGTTGTATTTGAATTGCAGAGGGATGCCAGTGTGGGTTTTTAAGCATCCTTAAAATGATCTGCTTTATGATCTTTGTGAGGAGTAAAGTGATCTGCTTTATGATTGGAAATCAATGTGGCTTTGGGGCAGAGAATAGACTGGGTGAGGGGACAGGATGTGGAGGAATAAAAGCAAAGAAACCAGTCAGACGGTGGACAGCTGTCCAGGGAGAGATGGCATCATCTTGGACAAAGCTGGAAGCCCCAGAAGAGGTAAGAAGTGGTCAGATCCGGGATCTACTTGGGAGGCAGAGCTGAGAGGACCTGCTGATGGATCAGGTACCAGAGTGGGTGGGAAAATCAGAAACGAATGATTCTGAGGCTTAGAGCCTGCATAGCAGGAAAAGTGGTGCTGCCACCGTAGAGATGGGAAGGGCAGAGGGCAGGTTGGGGGGTGGACAGAGGGAGTCAGTGCATCTGCTTGGCCATGGCCCTTGGCTATAGGAATCCGGAGCTAGGGGAGAAGTTGGTACAAGAGAGAGAAATGTGAGATTCAGCGGCATACAGATGGTATTTCCAGTCTGGGTCTGAGTGAGATGCTGGAGGGCGAGAGGGCAGGTAGGGAGAGGAAGACGCCTGAGCACTCCGGGTCTTTCTGCCCTGAGGCCCACATGGAAGAGTGGGGAGCAGCAGCTGAGACAGAGGAGCCAGTGCAGGAGGAGGAGATCCAGGGGAGAACTAGCCGGGGTCGTGAGCCCAGCTGGGGGAGTGCTGAGAGGGAAGTGAATGCACCAGAGGCTTGGCAGCAGGGGGTTGTTGGTGACCATGACCAGAGTGATGGAGACAGAGGCCTGACTGGAGGACTGAGTGGTAGCCGGGGAGGAGAACCACAGGCAGGACGAGGACCACAGAGCCCAGAGGTGGGGATCTTGGGTAAAGGGCTGTTTGTTATGACTTTGCATGACTGTGTGTCCATGGGCCTGCTCATGTGCACAGTGGATGTGCGTGAGTGTATCCCTGTATCCCTGTGAAGGGTCTGTGTGTCAGCCAGGCATAATCCTCCAGGTATGTGTGTCTGGACGTCTGTACCCAGTCTGTGCTGCTGGGTGTACATTTTCCACAGGAGATTCTGCAAGCCTGGGGGCCTAGGGACGTTGCCCAGGGTTCCACCAAGGTGTTGGGTCTGGTCCCCACTTATCCCAGTCCTGCTCAAAGGGAGCAATGTGGAAGGGCCAGCCAGCAGGTCCAAGTGGGAGTGAGGGTGACCATGTTGTGTGCTATCCCCTTTTTCCTTCTCTTCCTCCAGGCTTCTTCTTTTCTAGAAGGGTAGGGGCTGCCCCACCAAAAAATGGAGGTAGAGGGGATGGTCGAGTCTTTTTTAAGGTTCTGAGGCCCAGCCTAGCTCAGCTCCTTCAGAAGAGCAGAGGTCACTCCTGAGCACAGGGGTGTCCCAGGGAGCTGTGCTGTCACTTGTGGGCTCCCCACAGGCAGAGACGGGGGCCAGAGTGGGCCAGGGCCACAACTCTGACCAGGCTGTAGGGATAAACCAAAGCCTTTCTCCCCATGCCCGCCTCTGCAGGCCTGACCCACTCTGTCCCTGATCCTGGCACCCTTCCTAAAGCTAGGCTCTGGACCTGATGTCTAGAACAAGAACAAGTCCAAGAACAAGCTTGTTCTCTAGCCCTGAACAAGCCACTTTCCACCTTCCTCAAGAAGCCAAAGTGGCCAGGTCTCTGCCCAGGGCCTGCATGTTCACCACTGTGAAGACCAGTTTCCCCAGCCTATCAAGGCTCTTGGCAGCCACCAGGCCATAGTGGGTTGCCCTCCCCTATGACCTTGGGACCTTCACCTTCATCCCACCTCCTCCATCCCCCTGCATTTTCCACTCATCGGGTAGAGCACAGGGTTTGGGAAAGTGAACTCAGGGGTAGTCACTTGTGACCAGGTTCATGGGTGGGTGGAGCTTGGGAGAGCAGGAGGGAGGGAACTGGCTGGGGAGGGAAGAGATGGATGGGAGCCCAAGGTATGAGGGGTAGGGGAGGGTCTGCACCCCTGCCTCTGTGGGTCTGCCCCCTGCCTGCCCCCTCACACCCTCTACCCCTGCAGAAGCTGAGGAACTGTACCAGAAGAGGGTCCTGACCATCACTGGGATTTGCGTGGCTCTGCTGGTGGTGGGCATCGTCTGCGTGGTCGCCTACTGCAAGACCAAGTGAGTTGTCGGCACTCAAGCCAACAAGGGGCTGCTTCTGTGGGGACGAGCTCTCCTCCCCACTCCGCCATGCCTGGCCTGCCCCTTGCTCTTCCCCTCTGCCCTTTAGGGGCTCTGCAGCTGGTGTGGCCAAGAAGCAGGAGCAGAGGGTGGGAGAGACAGACCCCAGAGGACTGAACAAGAGTGGTCATGAGCACAGGCATTGGAAGAAGACAGACCTGGGTTCAAATCCAACTCTGCCATTTCCTGTAACCCTATGGAAATTGATGAACCTCTCTGAGTCCTCATCTGAAAAATGGGCATGATCCTCGTATGTACCTCAGAGCATCCTGCGGGGAGCATCTGCCCTGTCAAGTAGGCAGACACTGGGGCAGTGTGGGGGTGGGGAAGCACAGAGAGGAAGGCCCCTTCTCAGGGAAAAGAGCTCAAAGAGAGTTGTCTGGCCCCACCTAGGAGCAGTCCAGGCAAGACACCTTCCAACACAGAGAAGGGGGGTTGGGGCACCCCTGAGTGGAGGAAAGGTGACGTCAGAACCTTGGAGCAAGGGGAAGAAATGGGGCTGGACAATTCAATTTTTGCTTTGCAGAACAAAGCAAGCTAAAAGACAAATGCCAGGGAGTATTGACTGTGTTCATGGAGTTTGAGCAGCCCAGGCTAGTGGGAGCAAAGGGCGGGGGTCAAGAAAACAAGGTGCATGAGTCTAAAAGAACAGCTGGAGCCTGCATGGCACCATAGGGCCTTGAATGTCAAGCTAGGGAGCCAGGGTTTATCCTACGGATGGCAGGAGGCCATTGCAGGTCGTAAAGTGATGTAGTATAGAAAGAGGATTGTCACATCTGTTCTTATCTAGAAAGCAGGAATCTGGGCATGACCACCATTTGAAGGGCTGAGCCCTGGGGTCTTGGTTACTGCTGCCCCTATATATGAGATCAAAGGCCTTGCCAACCTTGAGATTTAGGGCTCAGGGCCCACATAGGAAAACCGAGGCCCAAACCTGGGCAGGGGGGGGTGGGAAGCAAGCACCATGTTCTAACCTATACTACATTTACTCATTTCAACAAACTTTTAATTCAATGCCTGCTGAACAGACACTAGGCCCAGCAACCAGGCAAATGGCCAGAGCTCTAAGCAAGAGGTGCGGGATCATGGGATATATTTCAGGGGTGCCTAACCTCAGCTGGAGGGCAGGAAGGATTTCCCTGAAAAAGGTGCATTTTAGCTGGGCCTCCGGGAGTTGGTGATGGACAGGGAGGCCTGGCATGCTGCGATTCATGGGGTTGCAAAGAGTCAGACACAACTGAGTGACTGAACTGAACTGAAGTTAGCTCGACTCAGAAGTTAACAGGTGAAGGGGCACAGAATGTGCTGCAATTAAATGCAAAGGCCCAGAGGCCAGAGAGGCACAGTGTCGGATCAGCAACAAGCCCTCCAAGGATGCAATGAGCGGGGGTGTGGAGAGATAGTACTAGGGAGAGGGACAGAATGCTGAAGACCCATGAAGGGTTTGTAGCAGGAGAGTGACATGATTCGTCTTGTCGATTACAAAACAGATGTACTGAGCTCTTAACGTGTGCCCAAGGAAAGAGGCCCCACAGGTCTTGTTTCCCTGACCACAGCATCCTGTTTTATTTTTTTCATAGCACTTTGCTGAAAGTACTTGTTTATTTATTTTTATTATTTTTTATTTTTAATTTATTTTTATTATTATTAGGAGAGACAGATGATGTGTTTATCATCTGCCTCTACTACTGGTCTGCAAGCTTCTTGAGGACAGAAACTATATGTCTTCTCTGCTCCAAAACTGCATCTTTGCTTTGTTCAGTCACTAAATCACCTCTGACTCCTTGCAAACCCCTGGACTGCAGCCTGCCAGGCTCCTCTGTCCTTGGGATTTCCCAGGCAAGAATACTGGAGTGGAATGCCATTTCCTCCTCCAGGGGATCTTCCCGACCCAGGGATCAAACCTGCGTCTTCTGCATTGGCAGGCGAGTTCTGCATGTAGTAAAAACCCAATCAATACCAAATAAATGAATGAATGAGCAAGTGGGTCAGCACTGTGCTTGAATATCTTATCTACTCTTCATACTCAGTGGTCTTTGAAATGGATAGATGATCAGTCCATTTTACAGATGAGGAAAGTGGAGCATGGAGAGTTTAAGTAACTTGCCCAGAGTTACACAGCTAGAAAATAGAGTTCTGCTATCTCAGCAGAGCCAAAGCTCATTACCACTACACTCAGGTACTGCTGAATGCAGGCTGGTAGTGATGATGTAGGGGTTGACTGAAAGGGTCCTGGCTGAGGGCAGCCTGAGCCCAGGAAGAGCAGTAGCAGGAGACGCCATGGCAGTCCAGGGCACAGGTAGCCCAGTTCCCTGGAGTGACAGCTAGGGGAGTTCCTGCTTTGTGTGTGTCGTGGGGTATGGAGGTGCCAGGCTAATGCACCTTCTCCTGCAGGAAACAGCGGAAGCAGATGCATAACCACCTCCGACAGAACATGTGCCCTGCCCACCAGAACCGGAGCTTGGCCAATGGGCCCAGCCACCCCCGACTGGACCCTGAGGAGATCCAGATGGCAGACGTGAGTGGTGATCCCTGGCCCCACTCTGACCCCTCGCAGTAGAACCCGCCTTCTCATGCCCCCTGCAAGAATAGGCCAGGGAGCCAGCAACCCATCCTGGGCTCAGCCTTGCCTGATAGCCTGGCCTCGCCTCCCCAGGATGACTTAGCCTTGCTTGGCCCACTTCCTCAAGGGAGGTCAGGGGCTGGACTTCCAGGAGCCACTGCTGCCCTAACACTGAGTCACATATCCAGTGAGCCATCCCCCCCCCCCCATCACCTGAAGCTTACTGTCTCATTTCCCCAAGCCCACCAGGAAGGAGGGTCAACTTGGTCATCTGTCACTAACTGCCCCCCTCAAACTCTCTGTTGCAGTATATCTCCAAGAATGTGCCCGCCACAGACCATGTCATCCGGAGGGAAACAGAGACCACCTTCTCTGGGAGCCACTCCTGTTCTCCTTCTCACCACTGCTCCACAGCCACGCCCACCTCCAGCCACAGGTGGGCACCACCACAGAGCCTTGCAGACTCCTGTATGCACACCCACAGGGCGTGCACACATGCATCATACACCTGCCTGGGGACACACACAAAACCCCAGCCAGGCTGGGCTCTGTATTAAAGGTCCTAGTGAGCCAGAGGATGGAGGTGGGGGGATTCAAGCCAGAACCCACCACCAGATATCCATCCAGGTCAAGAAACAGGATTCCCTTTTCTAGTCTAAACCAGCCCCAGAGGAGCAACAGCATCACTGTGCTCCCATCTAACATTTAGTTCTGTTTGGATGTCATCAGCACCACTTCATCTGGCAAAAAGTGTCTGGTCCCTCAAGTACCCACAGCTATTCAGTGCCCTCTCCTGGGGTTTCCACGTGAACCTAATCCACCTGAGCGTCCTCTCCAGAGGTAGGAAGGCCTGTCTACACAAGCACAAAGTCATACAGCTCTAAAAAGAACATGGTTGACCCCTTTCTTCCCTGGGGAGCGGGGTCCCTGTATATTGGCCACTGGGGCTGGGTGCTTGTGGCAGGTGTCCCGGGACCACAGGAGTGGAAGGGGTCACAGCCAAGGAGACCAAGGGGAGGTTGTTGCAGGGAGGAAAGGAAAAGGGCTGTGTGCACTGCAGCCCACATCCACAGGCCTTCAGCTCTCCTTCTCCTCAAATTGGGATTTAGCATTTACGATACTACACATCAGCTCAGAGTGGAGGACAGTGAGCTGAGGGAGACTGAGAGGAGTGAAGAACCAGGGCAGGGGTGGGCCTGGGACCACACATGCTGGGCTGCCCTACCCCTTCCTGTCCCCTCATGTCACTCCCACCTGGCTTCTCCAGGCATGAGAGCCACACATGGAGCCTGGACCGTTCTGAGAGCCTGACCTCTGACTCCCAGTCGGGCATCGTGCTGTCATCAGTGGGCACCAGCAAGTGCAACAGCCCAGCGTGTGTGGAGGCCCGGGCACGGCGGGCAGCGGCCTACAGCCTGGAGGAGCGGCGCAGGGCTGCCGTGCCACCTTACCACGACTCCATAGACTCCCTGCGTGACTCCCCGCACAGTGAGAGGTCAGTCCCCGTGACCTGCACCCACCTCAACCAGAGAGCTGGCACCACTGACCTGGGGCCGATCCTGTGGTCACCTCAGAAACATTCCCAAGAGCCTCATGCCCCTTTTTCAGATGGGCAAGCAAGGTTCCTGAAAAGTTCAATGTTCTGCTTAGGGTCATTAACATGTTAATGACAGGCTGGGACTCCAGCCAGTAGACCCTAGTGTGTTATGACTATTTAATTTAATTGTCCTACTAGGACACTTTTCAGAGTGGAAGAGAATGTTACTAATAATCGCACTGGAACATCAGGAACAAACAGGGGCTGTCCTGGACAAACCAGAACATATGGTTGCCCTATGCTGGTGTCACCTAGAGGCCCCATGTCCTAGGAGAAACAGACACCAAGATCAAACAGATGAGAGAGTGGGAGGAGAGGTTGTCTGTGAGGAAACTGATCAGTGCAGGATGGGAATGAGCCAAGAATGCCTGAGGCCCTGGAAGCATCAGCGTCTAGGCCCCCATGGATCAAGATGCCACTGGGTTCCCAAGCAATGAATGCAGTGAGAACCAGGAAATCCCCTTCTTCCCTGACTCACAGGCAGGAGTCACAGGGGCCAGGCTGCATCTTGCTCAGCCCTCAAATGGCCTGTTGGCAAGTAGGCTCTCTGGGAGGAGAGCAGAAAAAGGGGCATGGTACTAGGAGCTCTTCAGATGGTAAAGAATCTTCCTGCAATGCAGATAGCCTGGGTTTGATCCCTGAGTAGGAGAGATCCCCTGGAGAAGGGAATGGCTACCTGCTCTAGTATTCTTACCTGGAGAATTCCATGGACAGAGAAACCTGGAGGGCTACAGTCCATGGGGTCGCAAAGAGTCGGACACAACTGAGTGACTAACACTTCCATTTTCACAAGGAACTCCAGGCTAGGGTGGAGAAGGCTCAACTCAGCCTATTCCATGCCAGCCAACGGCACAAACCACTGAAACTCCCAGCTGCCCATGAAAAGAGCTAAACATAGAACACCCCACTAGGTTAGAGAAAGCGTCTGACCACAGGCTCTGGGAAGTAACTAGGTTTCTCTAATACTAACCTTTCTAAACCCAGTTCCACCACCTGTGTGACTTGAGGCAGGTTGATCACCTCTGTGCTTTGGTTTCCTCAGCTGTAGGACAGTGAACATTAAACCTGTCTCGCGGCTCTTAGGAAGGCCACCTAAGATCAAGCTCAAACCTGACATGGAGCTTGTGCTCACTAGGTGGAGCTGTGGTTATCAACAGTAACAAGAGCAACAGGACTCCTTGATGGGTGGAGGTAGAAAGTTGGGGAGGGACTTCTGGGCGAGGGGAACACCATGAGCCCTTCCAGTAGAGGCACTGAGGACAGAGCTGGTGAGTGAGGCGCCTCGAGGTGTGGGGAAAGGGGAGCTGGGCGTAAGCAGGCAGGCTGGGGCTAGATAGACAACCAGTGGCCCTGGGTGGGTAAGCATGAAGGGCCTCCAAAAGCAGAGATGTGACTTTAAAAGATTGTTCTGGGAAGTGCATAGGCTGAAGGAAAGATCCTGGGGTGGGAGCATGAAAAGACTGAACATCCAGTCCCAGGATGGAATAGAGCAGGGTGGAGGGTTTGATCCCGGAGAAAGGGAGTGGGTAAGACTTGATGGATGTACATGTGGAAAATGTGAGAGAGGGAAGACAGGGGAGTCAGATGATTCAGAAAGACAGTATAGGGACTTGAGGAAGCAGTTAGGTGCCCAGCTCTACTGTTTGAAAGAGAGGCAAGGAGGTGAGGTAGACAATGGCTGGGCAAGAGGCTGGTTTACCCAGAAAGGGAAATGTGGAGAAAGAAAAGGGACTGGTGCCTGGGACTCAGACTGGGAGATATTTGGAAGGGCAAACTTTTGAAGGAACTGGTGCTCTTTAGCTCCAAGCGGAAATGCTTCAGTGTGGTCTTGGTAACTGTGCTCTGGGCTGAGCTCCTACTTGAGGTGGGAACAGTCACTTCCCTGAGGCAGATTTTAGCTTCACCTTAAAAAGGAATATTTCCCCACTGTAGCCATCAGCCAAGGGATGAACTGTCCATGAGGGAAGGGGAGTCCAAGTCACCGGGGTGACTGAATGCAGGGACTAGCATGAGTAATCGGGCAGTATGAGTCCTGGTTTCTGCCTGTTGTTGTTCAGTCGCTCAATTGTGTCCAACCCTTTGCAACCCTGTGAACTTCAGCACACCAGGCTTCCCTGTCCTTCACTATCTCCCAAAGTTTCCTCAAACTCATGTCTATTGAGTCAATGATGCCATCCAACCAACTCATCTTCTGTCTCCCCCTTCTCTTCCTGCCTTCAATCTTTCCTAGCATCAGGGTCTTTTTCAGTGAGTCTACTCTTCGAATCAGATGGCTGAAGTAGACTGGAGCTTCAGCATCAGTCCTTCCAATGAATATTCAGGATTGATTTCCTTTACAATTGACTGGTTTGATCTTGCTGTCCAAGGGACTCTCAAGAGTCTTCTCCAGCACCACAGTTTGAAAGCATCAGTTCTTTGGTGCTCAGCCTTCTTTATGGTCCACCTCTCACATCCATACATGACTACTGGAAAAATCATAGCTTTGACTAGACAGACCTTTGTTAGCAAAATGATGTCTCTGCTTTTTAATTCTCTGTCTAGGTTTGTCATAGCTTTTCTCCCAATGAGCAAGCATCTTTTATTTTTCATGGCTGCAGTCACCGTATGCAGTGATTTTGGAACCTAAGAAAATAAAGTCTGTCACTGTTTCCATTGTTTCCCCATCTATTTGCCATGAAGTGATGGGACCGGATCACACGATCTTAGTTTTCTAAGTGTTGACTTTTAGGCCAGCTTTTTCACTCTCCTCTTTCACTTTCATCAAGAGATTCTTTAGTTCCTCTTCACTTTCTGCCATTAGGGTGGTATCATCTGCATATCTGAAGTTACTGATATTTCTCCCAGAAATCTTGATTCCAGCTTGTGATTCATCCAGCCCAGCATTTTGCATGATGTACTCTACATATAAGTTGAATAAACAGGGTGACAATATACAGCTGTGATGTACTCCTTTCCTAATTTGGAACCAGTCCATTGTTCCATGTCTGGTTCTGTTGCTTCTTGTCCTGTATACAGGTTTCTCAGGAGGCAGGTAAGATGGTCTGGTATTCCCATCTCGAAGAATTTTCCAGTTTGTTGCCATACACAGTCAAAGGCTTTATCAGAGTCAATAAAACAGGACTAGAGTTTTTCTGGAATTCTCTTGCTTTTTCTGTGATCCAACAAATGTTGGCAATTTGATTTCTGGTTCCTCTGCCTTTTCTAAATCTAGCTTGCATATCTGGAAGTTCTCGGTTCACCTACTGTTGGAGCCTAGCTTGAAGAATTTTGAGCATTTCCTTGCTAGCACGTGAAATGAGCACAACTGTGCAGTAGTTTGAACATTCTTTGGCTTTTGCCCTTCTTTGAGGTTAGAATGAAAACTGATCTTTTCCAGTCCTGTGGCCACTGCTGAGTTTTCCAAATTTGCTGGCATAATGAGTGCAGCACTTTAACAGCATCATCTTTTAGGATTTGAAATAGCTCAGCTGGAATTCCATCACCTCTGCTAGCTTTGTTCATAGTAATGCTTCCTGAGGCCCACTTGACTTCACATTCCAGGATGTCTGGCTGAGTGATGGTGAGTGATCACACCATCATGGTTATCCAGGTCACTGAGACCTTTTTTATACAGTTCTTCTGTGTATTCTTGCCACCTCTTCTTAATCTCTTCTACTTCTGTTATGTCCTTACCATTTCTGTTCTTCATTGTGCCCATCGTTGCATGAAATTGTTCCCTTGATACCTCTAATTTTCTTGAAGAGATCTCTAGTCTTTCCCATTCTGTTATTTTCCTGTTTCTTTGCATTGTTCACTTAAGGAGCCTTTCTTATATCTCCTTGCTATTCTTTGGAACTCTGCCTTCAGCTAGTGTATCTTTCCCTTTCTTGGTTCCTTTTCACTTCTCTTCTCAGCTATTTGTAAGGCCTCCTCAGACAACCAGTTTGCCTTCTTGCATTTCTTTTTCTTGGGGATGGTTATAGTCACCACTTCTTGTACAGTGTTATGAACCTCTGTCCATAGTTCTTTGGCACTCTATCAGATCTAATCCCTTGAATCTGTTTGTTACTTTCACTGTATAATCATAAGGGGTTTGATTTAGGTCATACCTGAATGGCCTGGGTTCACATCCCAGCTTGACCACTTCCTGTGGCTGTGTGAACCTTGAGTAAGTCACTTAAATGTTTTTGAGTCTCAGTTACCTAAGGGGTACTATGGCATTAACAGAAGCCTCTTACAGATTTACTGTATTAGATGACCTGGCACACGTAAAATGCCCCAGCCTAAGCCTGATCCAAAGTAACCATTCGGGAACACTGGTGTCTGTGAACATCCGCACAACCAAGGACCACTGGTTCCATATGTGTATGGAATCACCCAACAATGCTACGGAATGACCACTGTGTTTATTCCTGATTCACAGATAAGTAAACCAAGGATCAGAGAAACTAAGGAAATTGCTTAGGGTCACTGAGGAATACCAGCATGGCTCCTGCGGGAGGGATGCTTTGCATCAGGGCTGCCCCATCCCCTGGCCACCAGCCCATGTCTCTCTGCCTCTCCCCACAGGTACGTGTCTGCCCTGACCACGCCCGCGCGCCTCTCTCCTGTGGACTTCCATTACTCGCTGGCCACTCAGGTGCCGACTTTTGAGATCACGTCCCCCAACTCGGCGCATGCCGTGTCGCTGCCTCCCGCCGCGCCCATCAATTATCGCCTGGCGGAGCAACAGCCGCTCCTGCGGCAACCGGCGCCCCCCGGCCCGGGACCGGGGCCTGGGCCCAGCGCGGACATGCAGCGCAGCTACGACAGCTACTACTACCCCGCAGCGGGGCCGGGGCCGCGGCGAGGGGCTTGCGCACTGGGCGGCAGCCTGGGAAGCCTGCCCGCCAGCCCCTTCCGCATCCCGGAGGACGACGAGTACGAGACCACGCAGGAGTGCGCGCCCCCGCCGCCGTCGCGGCCGCGCGCCCGCGGCGCGTCCCGAAGGACGTCGGCGGGGCCTCGGCGCTGGCGCCGCTCGCGCCTCAACGGGCTGGCGGCACAACGCGCACGCGCGGCACGGGACTCGCTGTCGCTGAGCAGCGGCTCCGGAGGCGGCTCGGCCTCGGGCTCGGACGACGACGCGGACGGGGCGCTGGCTGCCGAGAGCACGCCTTTCCTCGGCCTGCGCGCGGCGCAGGACGCGCTGCGCTCGGACTCGCCGCCACTGTGCCCGGCGGCCGACAGCAGGACTTACTACTCCCTGGACAGCCACAGCACGCGGGCCAGCAGCAGACACAGCCGCGGGCCGCCCCCACGGGGCAAGCAGGACTCGGGGCCCCTCTAGGGCCCCCGCCGCCCCCTCCGCCTCGCCCGCCCCACTGTCTTTAAGGAGAACGGAGACCGCCGACTGGAGAGAGAAAGGAGGAAAAAGAAATAAAAATATTTTTATTTTCTATAAAAGGAAAAAGGTATAACAAAATGTTTTATTTTCATTTTAGCAAAAAATTGTCTTATAATACTAGCTAACGGCAAAGACGTTTTTATAGGGAAACTATTTATATGTAACATCCTGATTTACAGCTTCGGAAAAAAAAAAAGAAACAACAACAAAAAAAAGAGAGATGGGCCAATTTTTTGACTCTTTAATAGAAACCTATATTGTGGTGCCTTTTGCTGTACGCTAATATGGAGCTCCTGGAGAGAAGTGTGGGTTGCAGGGTTGGGGGAATGTAGGATCCCAAGCTGGCGGGGGGGCAGAGGTGGGGGGCGGTGAAGAGGAAGCAGAGAAAAGAGGCCACGTGTTTGGGTTCGGGTGGGGGCGAGGGTAGGGGGGTCCCAAGGAAGAAAGTGAGGTCCGGAGTAGCTTTTGCTCCCTCGTTAAGATCTGGAGTTCTGGTCCCCCTTAGCTGTGGGTGGGGATCCTAGGCGTGGAACTAGAGTTGGGGTCAGGTAAAGTCCAGGGGGAGATTTAAGGCCCAGCGACAGCAACCAGAATGGGGAGGGGGCCTCCCCGCTCCTCACAGCTGCTAAGGAGGGGGGCTCTGAGAAACAGGTCTTCCCAACAGCCTCTGCGGGGGAGGGGCAGCTCTGCCTGGGCCCCAGTGTTCGCGGCTCCTCCTCCCCTGTGGCCTCCAGGACGCCCCTCCGTCCTCTGCAGCACCTTCGTTTACAGGTCGTCTTTTCTATTTTACGCCTGCATGTCCTTTGCATTTCAGATTCTTTAGATTGGATGCATGGTCACACTGGGACCGAGAAGAGCCACTCAACAGTGTATTTGGTTCCCCTTTTAGCAATAAAGTAACACCATTTCCTTCTCACAGCCGGACTCCCATCCCCCAGCCCACCTATGACTTCCACTTCCTCTCCAGCCCTGACCTCCCCACCCCACAAAACTGGGTCCACTGCTAATTTGTCAAAAAGTTAATTGTTTTAAAAAAAAAAATCCTAAACAAATGGGAACCCTGCCCCTTGAAATGTCCAAACACCTGACTGTTGACACTTGAACATTTTTATATTATAAATAAAATCAGAAATAACTCATGTTTGACTGTGTGTGCCTAGCCCCTAGGTGAGGAGGGAAGACAGAGGATGAAGACCTGTGATAGAGATGGATGGATTTTGGTGTGGAGGTTGGAGAGAGCCAGAGCAGTTCCTGGGAGGAAGTGTGTTAGTCACTCAGTGGTGTCTGACTCTTTGCGACCCCATGGACTGTAGCCCACCAGACTCCTCTGTCCATGGGATTCTCCAGGCAAGAATACTGGAGTGGGTAGCCATTCTTTTCTCCAGGGGATCTTCCAGAACCAGGGATTGAACCCTGGCCTCCAGCATTGCAGGCAGATTCTTTAACGTCTGAACCAGCAACTGGGGGGAAAGAGACCCTCCCTTCAGTCTCGCTGGCTCCAACTCCCAGAATGGGATCCAACCCTCCTCCCTTTTCCTGAGAACATTCACCAGGTGTCCCCCAACACCTCTCCCCTACCACCCCATGGCTGCTGGGGAACCTGGCCAAGGGGCTGATGCAGATTACTCTGCTTTGAGCTCAGCCTCAGAACGCTGGCCCAGTTCCTGCCCTGGAGCTCCAGGGGGCAGAATGAGGCAAGAGTTTCCAGGCCTAGGTGGGTGAGAAGGGAAGGGTTATAAGGTTGGCACTGAAACAGCTGAGGCAAGATGACCCTTGGGGCCTCAGGCATGTCACAGGCAAAGTCTGGACATGAAAATGGCATAATGGGTACCCTCAGCTGCCAGGAGGTGCTGGGGTTTTTTATACCCCCTCAAAGCCAGGGCCTGTCTAAACTTGCAGTCTCTGATGGAGAGTACATGATCTCAGGCATAGAGAAGGCAGATGGAGGTCCAGGGTGAGCCTTTTCTCCCTCATTGATTAATGTTACTAAGTCAGTACCCAGCACTAGGAACCATTAGATTCCAGCCAGACACAAAGGAGTCAGCTATCCAAAGAGTTCAGGTGGTTGATGTGTGAGGGTGCACACAATGAGCCCAGAACTTGTGTGGTCAGTTCAGAGACCTATGGATAGGAAGGATGGAGAGGCCTAGGGTTGAAATGGCTTGGGCATCAACAGGGCCTGAATTCACAAATTCCAGCTCTGCTGTGTGACTTCTCTAGGCTGCACTTTGCTCAGCTGGGAAATGGTGATGCTAATACCTACCTCAAAGCATTGCTGTAGAGATCATATAAAGCACCCAGGATTGCTTCTAGCATGTGATAATTGCCTATTAGTGGCAAATTTGATGATGGTGATGACCATATCCTGTGCTTTGCATTCTTGAGTCACACAAAGAGTGGCAAAAACTGGATGAAAGGGAGATGATACAGAAAAGTAAAAAACTAGACATGTATTTATGTGGGGACACCGGGGGTGGGGGGGAGGAACTGTTACAAAGAAACAAAATTAATGAACTAAGTGCTATACAAACCTGCAAATCATTGACTTCTCCAGCCCCTATCTGATGATCTCATCCAGATCCTTGTGCTGGCTCTGAGTTTGCTGTTGGCTTTAAAATATTCTGAGAGCCAGTCATATCTCTGTGTGATTTATGATCTGTATGAAAACCCAGAAGAATTTTGCATGAACCTCTTGGTGAGCCCATTGCCCTTTTCATGACCCAGTTTAATGTCCTTATTTGACCCTTCTGAGGGCCTGAGTTACCTACCTTCTAAATTTTCACTCAGAAACCACTTTCCTGACTCCAGTGAGCACACTGACCTCTTTATGACCCCAAGTAATTATGAATGACCTATGACGCCAACTAATTGTGACTGACCTCTCAGTGAACCCATTGCCCTATTTATAACCCAGCTATGTGTCCTCATTTGACCTTTCTGAGGGCCCAAGTTACCTACCTTCTAAATTTTCACTCAGAAACCACTTTCCTGACTCCAGTGAGCACACTGACCTCTTTATGACCCCAAGTAATTATGAATGGCCTCTCAGTGAACCCATTGACCTCTCTATGATCCCAACTAATTGTGACTGACCTCTCAGTGAACCCATTGCCCTGTTCATGACCCAGCTTCATGTCCTCATTTGACCTTTCTGAGGGCCCAAGTTACCTACCTTTTCAATGTTGACTCAGAAACCACTTCCCTGACTGACACACTGACCTATGACCCCAAGTAATTGTGAACGACCTCTTGGTGAACCCACTGACCTCTCTATGACCTCAACTAATTATGAATGACCTCTCAATGAACCCATTGCCCTTTTCATGACTCAGCTTAGTACACTTGCTTGACCCTTCGGAGGGTCCTAAGTTTTTACCTTCTAAATTTTTAATCAGAAACCACCTCCATGATTGCAGTAAATCCATCTATGTCACCCCAATTAATTCTGAATAACCTCTTGATAAACTCATTGACCTTCACATGATCCCACTTGGTACCTCCATTATCTGGTCTGAATTCTAAGATACCTGCTGAGAGTCTAAGGCCAGAATCTAATCAGTTTCCTTGACTCTTTATCCTATCAGCCACCTGTTCATTCACAGGTGTGAATGGAACCTAGGAGCAGGGGTGGCCAGAGAGGCCCCCTTTTCACTCTGCCTCTCCAGTTCTACTTTGGGGCATCTTTAAGTTATGGCCCACTAGGAAGAAGTATAGGCCTAAGAAGGGGCTTACTACTACCATCCTGTCCCCCAGGAGCACTTAGGACATTCAGGCGGCTTCCTGAATCAGTCTTCCCCACTCCTCCGATTCTTCTCTCGGCCAGGTCATTTTTGTCTTGTCTCCCCAGCCCTCCCAGAGTCCCAGATGGAAATGGTGACTGACCATCTCCCTCCGCATTAGACTGTGAGCCCCATGTGGACAGGGATCTGGTCAATCCTTTTCTCACGGTAGTATCCCCAGCACCCAGCACAATGTGCAGTGCTGTTCTCACTGAATGAGCACATGGGAGGCTCAAGAGAGGCTGTCCTCAAGGGGCAGCCCCCAGGGGTCCCTGAGCCTGCAGCCACTTCCCAGGACCACCAGGTGGCGCAAACCACTTATTGCATCTCACCGGCTGTCCTCCAAGGCTCTGGATTTGGACAGTCCTGGGAAATGGACATATTAAGGGTAGAGGGAACATGTGGTCCATTGGAATGCAGAAAAAAAAATTAGAAGTTTGCTTTAGATTTATTTTCATCTCATCTTTTTAAAATTTCTATTTTGTGTATGTTTTATAATGTACATAATATTTTAGTACAGTAGTACATGTATATAATTTACAATAAATAATTATACAATTAAGAAAGTGAACTAAAAGTTTTTTTTAACTGATGGGAGGCACAACTCGTGCTCAGGGAAGCACACCTGTCTGCAGCGGACGGAGCCTGCTCCTCTGCTTTCACTCACCCACCCTCAAGAGGTGGAAGGTGGGAAGCAGACCCCAAACTCAAAGGATCTTTGAGACAGCATAGAGAAAAAGTACAGAGAGCTTTTTATGTTGCCACATTGCTCTTTCAATTTCACTTAAATGAACATTAACTTCCCCTCAGCAAAATGAAGGTGCCAGATGGTTTGGTTATAAAATACACTCAGCTGATCCAAATTAAATAATCTGGATTTAAATCACTACATCTCTCCACAGATTCACAGGTCCCTTGCATCAAACGTGAGTGGGCTTGTAAATGTCGGGTACTTAGTTGCAAAGTTGGCTTATCTTATTATCTAAATATATTACCACTGAGGTCAAACTGCTGGCCAAACTACAGTAATCTGTTTAAAAAATAGGATTTACTCATCACAGTTGCATTGAGGGTGCCATCACCCCCACCACTTGTCAGTCTGAGGAATGCAGGGTTTAAAACATGCTAGTCTGTGATCATCACGTGGCAAATTATCCTTTCCAG